ACGGAAATTAACCCAGCAGACATAGCTGCTCGAGGAGTTAGCCCTAGCAAGCTTCAAGATTTAAAGTTTTGGTGGAGTGGCCCACCATTTTTAATGAAACCTAAAACGGAGTGGCCAAGCGCTCTTATAGAAAATATTGAGCTTCCGTAGCTCAAAGTAAATACATGTTGTGTGTCTGTTGAGATTCATTTGATTTTGATAGGTTCTGGAAATTTCAACGAATGATCCGGGTGGTAGGATATATCTTAAGATTTATTCATAATTGTAAAACAAGGAAGGATTCGAGACTTAGTGTTGATCTGAGTAACGATGAAATAGATAAGTCTACTCAGACCCTAATCAAAACCAGCCAACACGATCCTTTACAGATGAGGTGCAATCATTATAAAACAATAAAAAGATAAATCATAAATCAAGAATTTTTTCACTAAACCCTTACTTAGATGAGCAGGACCTGATTAGGGTTGGAGGCAGAATCCAAAACTCTATCTGTGAGTATTCTAAAAAACATTCCATTTTATTATGTGCACGTCATAACTTTACGAAACTGTTATTTCAGGAGACTCTCAGTTTTCTTTTTTCAGAGAGACTTTCAGTTTGCAATAAGCCAATACTTGATAGGATTCTCAGAGCTACTGGAAAACCATATCATCCAACATGTTTCACCTGTGTGGTATGTGGAAAGAGCCTTGATGGCATACCATTCACTGTTGATGCAACAAATCAGATTCATTGTATTGAAGATTTTCAGCTTAAGTTTGCTCCACGATGCTGGGCTACTATAGTCCGGCCGCTGAGTTATTACCGATTTGACACATTACGAATTGACAATACTAGTGAAGTGACTGAACCAGTAACCCTAATATCATTTGGGAACAGTTTGTTTTTAAATATTCTAGTATAGTGTGTAATTAAATAAAATCAAAACAATAATAGTTAAAGACACAGGTTCTTTATTAGGTGGAGTATCCTTGATGGGCGTAGATAATTGGTCGAGGACATATCAAAATAAAACAAATTTGTAAACACTGTTACACATTTTAATGAATAGAGTAGGTACAAGATGTTTTAATAAATGACTACCTATCATTTATTAAAACAATTATTCAGACTCTGAACCAGATTCGCCAGAGCTGTCATCACTATCAGTCACTTGTATGACAATTTCATTCTCTATAATGGTGTCCACTCTTATATCGCGTTCATAATATTCTGTTATTAGTTTTCGAGTCTTTTCGACGACCTTGACCCAATCTTCTTTCGTTATTTTGCTGCAAGCATCTTTTAATAGACCCATCATTTTATTAGTACTGAATGGCGGAGTCGTATTATTACGAGCTGCGTAACCTGTAATGTAAACATTAAATAACGTTAATTTATTACATTAAATAAACGAAATGTTACATGTAAGGGACATGAGATATTTATTTCTTAGTTATGTATCTTTTTACTTATATGCTGAATATTGGATGTTATAATAGTACAAATTATTCATATTCATAACTTATGCGATAAAAAACAATACCTTTGATTTGTGCCCATATTAGCTCAATGGCATTGTACTGGCAGTGATAAGGCGGAATTCGAAGTACCCGATGTCCATGTGCTAGAGCTATCTCATCTACTTCATAACGGACTCTTGATGTTTTATTTTCGCGTACCAACTTTACTAAGTCAGACTTTAGCATTTCGGCAGTAGTTTCAATTCCATTTTGGTGTAGCCATGCTACGAGATCAGCTTTCTTGTCGGCCTGAGTAGGCGCTTTATTCACTTGTTTCGAGTGATATGAAGCGTTGTCCATTATTATGATAGAAGGCTCTGGCAGGCTGGGTAATAATTGATTTTCGAACCAATCCGTAAAAGTGTCTGTATCCATCTCCTCGTGGTAATCGGAAGTACTTTTTGACGCGAAAGCCAGCAGTCCATTTTCAAAGAAACCACTTCCAGCGGAACCGGCGTGACAAATTATCAGTCGCGATCCTTTTCCAATTGGAACCTTTGAGGTTGATGCTTTTGTTTCGTCAGTCCAAGAGCTTGACACAGTGTGGTTCGCATTTAACCATGTTTCGTCAACAAAAACGACGTTGTCCCAAGACTCGATTTTTCTGGCTTCTCTTAAAAACTCGCTCCTTTTAATTATTAAATCAAATCTTTCCATTAATATTTTCCTTTTATTCGTTTTTTTATATTCAAACCCAATTTCGTGCAATAGTTTTAACAACGCCGTTTTACCGCCTTTAAACAAGCCAGCTTCTTTTAAAGAGACCAAAAGCAAACGTCTAGTTGGAAACTCGTTCCTAGTATAATAACTATATATTATGTAGTTTCTTATTGCATCTGCATCAAAAACATCAACACCTGTCACGGGCTTTTGTCTTCATTTTTTCTTAGGAGTGCGTAAAACATTATCTTCACTTCCAGAAGCACCAAATTTTTCTTTATTTATAATTATATAGTGTTTTTGCACCAATTCCAAGAGCTTGTGAAACCCGATCTTTCACTTGAGTGACAGGAATCAAAGGGCCGCCATTTTGTAACTCACGCTCAAAGTAATCCTGTAGCTTTAGTACAAGCTCACGACATTGACTATTCAATGTTTTTCCTCGTTTCGGCATTTTCAACAAAATTACCAAACACAAACAAAATTAGTCCAATAAAGCGCAACGATAAACAGGAGAAAGCCGAGTCAAAAAACAACGGTTACACAAGAGAACGTAGTCTGTGCGCACGAGAGTACGGAAGACGACTAAACAGATTAAAATAGCGGTGGTAAGGGTGTTGCCAGAATAGTATCGCCAATTACTTAAAAAAATACACCTATAACATTGCTTAATTGAGGGAGAAAATTATATTTATTAAATGTTGTTTTATATTTTATGAATGTTAAAAATTATACATAATCATTTTAATTGTATTTATTTTTAAATCATAGAAAACAGTATTTCTGTCTTTGGATCACACATAAATCTTAAAAATCATAGAGATACTGGCAACACAGTGCAATTAGGAGACGCAAAAAAATGGTAGCATTATAGTCTAGTTGCCCGAAGGAATAAGTAAAATAAAAATATCCAAATAAAATAAATATCATATCTATTCCAATGAATTCGGATCGAATACTATCAAGCACATCACTATGAAAATTAGACGCACGATGTAACTTTGTACAAACGCGCCAAAGAACAAAAAATAAATGTTTTCATATTATTTACAAACTATTTTAAGTTTTGAAACAGAGTTTATTGGAAAATTACTTGATTCTGACATTTTGACATAAAGTTTTATATTAAAGAGGTATTCTAAATCATTCGGCAAATGTGTCGCTCGTGCAAGGTTATATCGATTAATTTAAGAATAATCTGTCAAATCGGTAATAACTCAGCGGCCGTACTATAAATGCGTGAAAAATGGCGATATCAGGTTCCATGTTGTTGGCACCACTGCCTGCGAGCCTGTGACTCAAGCACAGTCATAGATAAGCTAAAGTGTAGGGATGCTCGATATCGTAGAAACATCGATGATGACATCGATATTGACATCGATAGCTCAACATCGATGTTCGATGTTTATCCTACTCAAAACATCGATGTAGGCCATTATCGATGTTTTTTGCACATGTATTTAATAGGTTAGAATAAGATGAATTAAAAAAATGTCATTTTGTTTATGGTTTAACATGAATGAAATAAAAGAAATTAATAAACAATGTAATGAAAAACAGTAATTAAAAAATTGGAAGAAGTTCAAATATATCTACTTCATTTGTTATGTAGTCCAATATTTTTGCCGATTGATTGAAGAAAGAGTAATTTTGACAAAGAAGTACCTTTCAATCTGTTTCTCTGTTGATAAAGAGTTGAGTTAGTTATTGAAAATAATTTAAAAATAACAATTTTGTACAACTGACTTCAATATAAATTATGAAGGATAACTCAAAAACGATTGATCAGACTTATATGGTTCAAATTTATATGGGCAGAAAAGGTATCATCGAAAGCGGTCCATCCAGAAAAAACATTAAAAAAGAGGTAACACACATTAAAAAAAGAACATACAGTATTAATACAGTATAAACATACAGTATAATTGAGTACCTCTTCCTTTTTGAAGTCGGTAGATAACCGTTCAGATGGCGTGGATGTAGCGATTGTGGTCAAATATCTCACTGCAAGTTTTATTTTTTTATTTTAGATAGGTAGAACCAATAACATTGTTCTAAACCTGCATTGGTTCGTGTTTAAGATAAAGCATCGGATTTTTAAAAAACAACTGACAAAGAAATAGACAACCAACAACGACACCAATAACAAAACGAAATCAGTGACAACTGCGACATTACGGTTGACACTTGACAGTTAAATATTGATACACCAGTATGATATATTTTTAGGTTATCGATGCGTTCAAGCATTCTGAATTATTCAAAATTTTAAATATTTTAGAGGAGATGCAAGATTTAGTTGATATTGATTTTGCGGGTTTGCAGTGTTCGCACGTATCCAATAATCGATTATGGGTTTATGGACATCGATGTTTCGATGTTTGACATGTGGCAACATCGATGTTTTCATTTTTGACATCGATGATCATCGAACATCGATGATCATCAATCATCCCTACAGGCACTGTCCATCACTAAAAAATAGGGATGGGCAAAGAAAAAAATATATCGATATATATCGAATCAATATTTTTACAAAGTATCGATATATATCGTGTGATAAATATCGATATATCGATATATCGTCATCATTTGCATGATGTAAAGATAAGGTCCAAAATTTTATTAAAAATACGATACATTTTAAAATATATCGAAATTGATAAGAATTCGATACTGTAAAATAGATATCGATATATCGATAGATCGCGATTTAAAATATCGACGATATATATCGATATTTTTATTAAAAAATATCGATTTTTATTAAAAAATATCGATATTTCGATATATCGATATTTTTTGCCCAAGCCTACTAAAAAATCTAAATAAATAAACAGTAAAAAAAGTAAAATTTAAATGATGTAAATTTTAAATATAATTTTAGGGAAAAGTTTTACATATAGCTTGTTACATATTTCTTTATCTATTATACCAATATAAACAAAGAGTTTTGTTTATATTCCTATAAATGAGTAGTAGTTTAATTAGAGTAAACCAGTGCAGAGAAGTGAACCTGTAGGTATAATAAGGGATATACCTGAGTAACGTAAAAATCCTTACAAAAACAAAATACTATAGTTATTGAAAATGATACACGATGCCTTATTAGTTTTATGGGATTGTACGCGAGTAAATGAAATGTTACAGGTAAGTTTTGAATAAATTATTAAAAAGTAGCAAACCCTAGTAAATACTCGCAGCACCTGGGTAACTTCTTTGTTTTCATAATTTTTCCAGATTGAACCGACTCTTTACGCCAATCAAGGAGATCCAGAAATTTATAGTAGAATTTGTGCTATTTCAAGAAGTCATCATAAAATTCAGAATTTTATTGCGGCCACATCCTTCAATTATCGGAAAACACACACAGGTAGGTACTACCTTTATTTTTACACATTAACATACAACGCCTTTGTCGAGTTTTCTCAACTTCAGGCCATTCCCCTTGCTGTGTCAGCCAGCTTCGGAATTCTCAGCGGTGACATATCATTTGACATTCAGTTTCGTGGTCACTTGGATGGGAATGCTAATTTGGCCTCTTAAAAGCTTGGCATGGTCAGTAGACCAGGACACTATTTCATGCCGACAGCGAGTAGCGGCCCAAATTGTTGATGACTTGTTTCAGATAGGCTCAATTTACTGGTGCTGAGAATAGATTTTGCATTCCTTTGTATCATTTATCTTTGGGAATAAGTTTGGATCGTTTAGTGACAGTGAGAATAATATCCACTTCCCTATATAATCCCAGGGGTGTCATAAGAGGTGACAGAGGTAAACAAATCAGGGATGGAAGCAGCATCTTCCTAATTTTGACAAAAATAAAAAAATGTTGTAAACTGCCAAGCATGGCTACTATTGCATAAATCACCCTATATGGTGCAATCTATTGAGGAGGCCTATATTTAGCACCATATTGATGCTGGGTGGTTCATCACTGTGCAATTTACTAAGAGTTGTCTTCCATGCACTAATACCAACACATTTTTGGACTGATACTGAGAGACCTTCATGAAAAGAACTTACTCCTTTTTTAAACGCTGGCAATGTATTTACAATTCCCATGGTGTTGCAGTTGTTCATAGATGGCAGTAATGAACATATTATTTCAATGTTATACTTTTTTTTTATAGGATAAGGGTAACAAACGAGTACACAGTCCACCTGATGGTAAGTGGTTGCTGCAACCCATAGACATCTACCTCTATCCTCGTTTGCGAATCAAAATGCAGATGCGTTGTCACCCGTGAGGACTAAGATGGAATGCCTCATTTCGAGTAAAAAGGGCCTCCGGCCACCTGCACTCACCAAGCGAAACGCAGAGGTAAACCTCTACTTCAAGCTGGTATTCTGTGAGGTCGTGGTACCACCCCGGCTTGAGCCGGCCCATCCGTGCGACAGCAAAAGCTGCTGCGTGGCTCTACCACTAATTACTAATTTGTACTGCTTTACCTTAATGTATTTTACAGTATATCTGTTTTAAAAGAGAATTAAGCTAATTATTTATATTAATCATTGTACTTAGTAGTAGATGCTGGGACTCCTTTTCTGCCTGAGTCTCTCTGGGCAAGTACCACCCTCCTATTTCTGCCACCTAATAGCAGCGCTTGCAATGCTGTGTTGATTGTTTTTTTTTTATAGAATAAGGTTGTCAAATGAGCACACAGTCCACCTGATAATAAATGGATGGTGAGGCTCATACACATCTACATTTATCCTTGATTAAGAATCAAAATATAGATTTGTTGTCACCCTTTGATGACTAAGATGGAATGCCTCTTTTCCAGTTAAAAGTGTCTCCAGTTCTTTACACTCAAATAATGTGTATAAACATACTAAAATACATTTCACTCTTATGCATAATTATAGAATTGATTAAACTTCATTAGAAAATGTTTTAGGTGCTAAAACATTTGGATTGTATGGCCAAGCTCTAAGTGAGGGTATTACAGAAATTTTACAATCATATAAGAAAACTTTATTAGAGGTGGAAAGCTTAATTATTGGAAATACGGACTATACACTGTCATTTGTGTACAGCTATGTAGAAAAGTTCCAAGGACTATTTAATACTATCAACAGAATTATTACTACCATTAAAGAAAGAAGACTAACTGGTTGTCAAATTTTAAGTTTAACTCATCAACACATATTAAATGGAAATGAAGTGGTCCATAATGCAATTGTAAGGTAGGCAAATTACATATTTTAATAAGTAATTAGAAATAGATTTAATAAAAGTAAAATGGTAATTAAAATAACTATGACTTTTTTTGTAACTTTGTCAAAAATATGAAAGCATCTATCAAGTAATCTGCGACAGATATAAGGGTAACTTCTTGGATTTTTAAGTAAAAATATCACAATAATTGTCACAATAAACATTATAAAACAGCACAAGCTCATTGTTTAGTTTGTACACAAAATAAAGGGTCTTAAAAAGATTAATATTCTTAATTATGATTTTTATTTTTGTTCTGCATTTTACTTGTAATTTTTCCCCGTAATTGAATATTTCCGCACCAGTATGACTGCTCTATCGCCCTGTATACTAAGACTGTGGTCTTTGTTTCATCAAGGTTATACAGACTTCTTAAAGCCTTAAGCTGGAATAAAAGAACTCAATTAAGAAAAAGATAAAATTAAATGTTATTGTGTATATTTATATGTTACTAGTTTTTCTAATTAATGTAATTAAAATTGTATTTTTTTTCGAACGCCGAGTAAAGCTTGTTTGCTCAGGTACTGTATAGTAAATAATAGTTAGTCAACTCGGTTGCCACAAAGAATAGGGTGTGGTATGAACACATAACAGAAAAAACACATAGTTCTGTTCTGTGGGTATGATGGAAAGCGAAACCCTCCTCTCTCGAACGTTAACCAGAAAGCTTGGGTAATTCCAGTACAGAAGAAATAAAAAGTCTAGGATTACGACTTTATTTTTTTTCTTCTGGCATTATACCCGTCCATACCATAAATAAATTGGATACCTACACTTAAGTTTAATCAACTGCATTTGGCTGCACCTATTTGTTGCCACACTTTCCACACTTTAACTATAACACAGGCATAATAAAAAGTTTCTATTTTAAGATGAAATTTAATTTGGAAAATATATGCAGTATGTACATAGAACATGGTTTTTGATATTTAATATTTATTATTTTTGCTAAATCATGTTAATTTTCTTGATTTTTCACTTATTTTACTCCCTTTTCATTTCCAGGCCTTTTTTTTAACAATATCAGTTACAGTTGCTAAACCCAAGTTACTAGTAACCACTGAAGTTGGTATCTACATGTACGCATGACGTGGTAGAGCATACATTCAGACGTGGTAGAGCCATGCTACAGCTATATTAGTAGTATAGTTGTAGCACGAATGGGTTGGCTCGACCGGGGAAGGACCACACTCACAGAATACCAGCGTCAAATAGCAGCTTGATGCTGCTGTGTTTTGTATGGTGAGTGTAGAGAACCGGAGCCCCTTTTTACTGGAAATGAGGCATTCCATCTTAGTCCTCAAGGGTGACAACGCATCTGCATTTTGATTTGCAAACGAGGATAGATGTAGATGTCTATGGGCCACAGCAACCACTTACCATCAGGTGGACTGTGTGCTCGTTTGTCACCCTGTCTTATAAAGAAACATCATAGGATATAAATAAAATTGAAGTGTGTGTCTGTAATATTGAAATAACTGGCTTCTATTAAGATCAGGGGATTATTTGAATGCTATGGAGACATAAATAACTATTTTTTATATTGTTGTCTGTCTGTCTGTCAGGACTAATCTTCGGAATGGCTGAACAGATTGTAATCACGAAGTTACGAAAAGATAGAAAGCAATACAATACCAAGAGATATCTATGCTATAGTTTAACTGAAAAAACAGGATGAAAGTTGTTTTTTTGAATAATATTAAAAATTAATGGTATTAATTTCATTAAAATATATCTTTATCTTATCCAGGCGAAGTCGGAGCGGGTCGCTAGTAACAAATAAAACAAATTGAAATAGGATTGGTACATACATATTATATATATATATATATTTGCGAAATAAAAAGAATATTTAAAAGCAGTTTTGATTTTTTTTGCTGCCTGAAAAAATACAATAAGAAAGAGGTTTTAATTGTTAGAACATGTTACTCACTGGTTATAAAAGTGCCGTGGTGTTAAAAAACAAATTTTTGCCTGGTATTTAAAGAAAACAACTTTTTACTACATTTTATGATGCGAACTCTTTCTTCCAGAAGCGGCCCCACAGGAAGTGGACCTGGTCGAGCCCCGACGGTTCGACAAAAAATGAGATTGACTTCATTATGACGACCAGACGACAACTGTTCAGTGATGTCTCAGTGATCGCGAGGGTGAAAACCGGCAGCGATCACCGAATGGTTAGAGGCACACTGAACCTAAACGTTAAGTTGGAGAGGTCTCGTCTAATGAAGTCAACGCTCCGTCCCCCTCGTGCTCTAATCCAAAGTCCCGAAACCTTTCAGCTCGAGTTACAAAACCGTTTTCAATGCCTAGAAGACTGCAATGAAGTGGACGATTTGAATGACAAGCTCGTGGAAACTGTCCATGCGGTCGGAGCTAAGTTCTGCAAGACCCGCCGCAGAAGAACACAAAAACTCTCCGATCACACTCTTAATCTCATGGCTGTTAGACGGGAGATGAAGCTACATTCTTCAACAGATTTGACAGCATACAGGCAACTGAACAGACAGATCTCCAAATGCATGCGGCGGGACTTACGCAAATTCAATACAGCTCGTATTGAAGAAGCGATCGAGCGGAACCAAGGCTCCAAAGTCTTTTCCAGAGATCTGTCTGCCAGAAAGCGCCAACTGTCAAAGCTGAAGACAGAGTGTGGCATCATCGTTTCCGGGGCACCTGAGATTTTGAGTGAGATTGAGAGGTTCTATGGGCAGCTGTACGTCATCGTTGGAGCCGCACTCAAGTGTGAGTAACGATCCAAGAGCGAGTCTTATCCGACATTATTCCGATGATATCCCGGACGTCAGTCTGAGCGAGATTAGAATGGCTCTCCAGCACCTTAAAAACGGCAAGGCCCCAGGCGAGGATGGAATTACAGCGGAGCTTCTGAAAGCGGGTGGAAAACCGGTACTTGAAGTCCTTCAGAAGCTCTTTAATTCCGTCCTCCATGGTGGCATTACACCGGAGGCGTGGAGCAGAAGTGCGGTGGTCTTGTTCTTCAAGAAAGGCGACAACGCTCTCTTGAAGAACTACAGACCGATTTCCCTTCTGAGCCGCGTCTACGTGCTGTTGTCTACGTGCTGTTTTCGAGAGTCATTACGAATCGTCTCGCGCGCAGACTTGACGACTTCCAGCCTCCCGAACAAGCCGGTTTCCGAAAAGGATTGACGAAAACTTAATTTTTATGGATAACAACTGTCAACACTCGCGCCCGCCGATCTGGCTATGTGGAAGAATATGCTAGAGGTCGGAATTGGTCGTTTGGTTTTGCACGCTCGAAGTCCCGAACTAAATCACATAGAACAAGTCTAGGACGTTGAGACGAATGCAAGCTGTGGTTTCAGCAAGAGGGAGTCATACAATACTAAACTTTTATTTTTTATTTTATTAAAGAAAAATACAATCCAAAAAACGTGATTCATTTTTACTTGGCGAACTTTAATATTATTTCTTATTACTTCAATCACAATGTGATAAAACTGACGAAAACTATTCCTTGCTAATTGATTTATAAAATTCTGTATATAAAACTATCTAAAATTATCAAACAATACAATAGTACAAATAAAATTGATTCTTTGCTTAGGTGTCCGTTTTTTTTTTGTAGAAGAGTTTAGTATGTTGATTAAGTTTACTACGGAAACATAATTCTTGCGATGGCCATCGCGAGTTCGAGCTATCGTTCGGTATCGTATCAATCGCAGGGCCGCGTGCGGCATCGCGGACACTGTTCATATGGATAAAAAGTCACATTTAAAGTTGAAATTAATTAAATAACAAAAACAGTTATAACAAGACGAACTGAACACAGTTTGTATGGGTCTATTTTAATGTATGTAGTTCCATCTGTTGCCGACTTTGATTACTAAAGATCACTATAATGGGCTTTTTTAATATTCACCTTAGTAATGATGATATGTACGAGTACATGTTTTTCACTTAAGAAAATGAGTTGTAGTAATGAAGTATGATCGCTTTTCTAAATATAAAAGAAAACTATGGACATATTTTAACCTGTTATCAATATCAGCCATTAGACTATTATCTAACATAAACATCCCCTAACTTTGGCTGATTTTCCCCTAAATTATAGCACATAACCTGTTTACTATTATATGTTGCCCTTTGTCAGCAGTCTTTCACATTGTATAATTTATGTGGCAGAGCCATATCGTATCTGTACAATGGCTGCGAGACGAATGTGTCGGCTTAACCTGGAAGGAATACACTTTTATAGGATACAATAGAAAAGCAGCGCTGATGGGTTTCGTATGGTAAATAACGAGGCAAGAGAGACCCTAACTGGTAATGAGGCATTCCATTTTAGTCTTCAGGGTTGATACCGTATTTGTATTTTGCTTCTTATAGGTTTTGCGTCAATATACTTCGAAGTTCTCGCTGCGGTAAAGATTGTGGTGGAGAACAATATCATAACTCCTTATCTTCAATCCGTCAGTAGTATTGAGCTGAACTTGAGTTCCATTATAAGAATTAGTTTAGGCTTCTGACTTTATTAATTTGATAAAATAAAATCATCATTGCAGAATATTTTCCTGTATTAATACTGTCTTTGTCAATCAATTGTGCACTTGGTTACTTTATGGAGAACTAAGAGATCCGTATGAAGAGTTTTTTATTTACCGAAGTAAAAAAGACGACCATTCAGACACTTTTTTATCATCACCATCGACAATAAATACATGTGATAAGACTCTCGTCACTACAGTAAGTATTACATTATCAGTGCATTCTTTATAGTTCTGAATAAAGGCCTCCCCTAGAACCAATCTTAAATAAACTGTAATTTTCACATTGTTAATCATTAAATTATTTTACTAATGCTACAATTTTACGAGCTACCATTAGCCCAAAATTTCACTGCTGGAAATAAGCCTTACCCATTGTACAGACTATAGGGCTTAATCATCACGTTTTGCAGACGCATTGGCGATCGCAAAAGCAGACGGTATAAACGTGGTAGAGCCATGCTGTAGCTATGTTATGGTTGTAGCACGTATGGGTAGGCGCGACCGGAGAAGGACCATGCTCTTAAAGAATACCAGCGTCAAAAAGCAGCTTGATGCTGGTGTGTTTCGTATGGTGAGTGTATAGAACCGGAGACCCTTTTTACTGGAAGCGAGGCATTCCACCTTAGTCCTCACGGGTGACAACGCATCTGCATTTTCAATCTTAATTGAGGGTAAATGTAGATATCTGGGAACCACAATAACCACTTACCACCAGGTGGTCTGTGTGGTCTGTGTGTTCGTTTGTCACCCTTATCCTGTAAAAAAAGACATCACGAATGTTTCTTTAGCATTTTATAGCCGGTCAAGATATGTTACATGCTGACAATATAAGGAATGAAATTAATGAATAAAAGCACTACATAAAGAGATTCGATTTTATTATATATTTTATGTGACTTTTTCAGTTGCAACAAACACCTTTGGATTGTGGATACAATCTTAATCCTAGCATGATACCACATTTCATGCCACTTTCATTGGCACAAGAAATATTGTTCATCGGCAAGACTGTTATACTGTTTGGTTTCGACCCTAGAAAAGTTAAAAGGAACACTTGTATTACACTGAATAGGCCTCTGCTTCCTTTACATAAACTTGACAATGATTCTAGAAGGTATGTCCATCTGAGTCAGATTTTCATTAAATTTAGGATCCGCCCTCACGATATTCTGATAACATAATTCCTCGCAAATAACATCAATGCTTATCAAATACTTCGCGTAAGGTCATTGAAATTAGAAATGTCCTAAATTCAATAAAGAAGGTGGTTATGTGAGACCATCCGCTTGATACTCTATTGTTAATAAAATTAAATCCAAACCCATCTATACCATAGAAAGACTTCAAGATACTGTAAGCGCATGCGTAGATCGTTTCTAAAATTAATAATTAAGCGCTGAAGTTACAGCACTCGAAATGGTAAGATTTAAAAAAAGTTAAATAAACACGATACTATTATGTATCACACGAGATATTAAGCTTGTCATGTAGCATATTGAGATGAGGCAGTATTAGGAAATCTAAGCTAAATTAGATGTATCACACAGTTGTTTCCGCAAACACGTGAAATGTAAAGGAATAATTGTCATTCAAACCAATGATGTAGGTAGCTCTTCGAAGAATCCTTGCAGTACATGATATTGTTAAAGATTTCGAGAAGGATTCCAACATAAAGTGGTAGAACCACGCTGCAACTATATTATGGTGCAACCCGAATGGGGCAGCTCGACCAGGAAAAGATCACGCTCCCATAGAATACCATCGTAATATAGCAGCTTAATGCTGCTGTGTTTTGTATGGTTAGTGTAGAGAACCGGAGACCTTTTTTACTGATAAAGAGGCATTCTATCTTAGTCCTCAGAGCTGATAAAACGAGGTGTAGATGTCTGTGGGCCACAACATTCATTCTTATTAAAAGGCTTCCAGCACTTCGGATATGCAATGTGCTAACTTTCCTCCATTCCATATAATTAATTACTTCACAGATATGCGTTTAGAAGTGCTTAGTGTTTAGTACACGCTTGAGAACTTGCATAAAAAAGATATTGGTTCTGGTCATACTGTACTTAACTAAAATTTATAGGCGTAGAAATAGTACAATTCAATGAAATTTTCATTAAAATTCTTTTTGTAAATACTACAATATTTCGTAAAAAATTTACAATACAACAAAACATAGCTAGAAAATTGTTTTTGTTTGTTTTTAGTTTTCTGTATCTGTTCTACTCAAATCCTAATTTATATAAGTTTTTCTACGAAAAAAATGCCTGGTCACATAGAAGTAAATCTGTTTATATGTTTGTACTTAAATTTTTGGTATTTATTTTTCGAATAGGTTTACAATATGGGAGGAGAAGGAAGCAGAGTTTCACGAAAAGTTGCAGAAACTTAAGGACCCGGAGATTTTTGAAGTCTGTAATCTGAGATGTGTTGTAAGGGAGATAAAGGAATGTGTTACTAAGGTACAGTTATATATTATATATATTTTCCCGTGGGTGACGTAAGAGGTGACAGAGAGAGAGACTGAAACATCTTTCTAATAATAACTATAACTAAATAATAATTAAAAAAACTGCGGTAGACAACCCACCTGCTAAATGTTGCCAAATCGTTGCTATGGCAAGTATGAGGTCAATTTGTTGGGACGCCTATGTTCAGCAAGACTATGGACTTCAGGTGGGTAATAATAGTGATGATTTTTAATATTCACACCATAATGAAATATACATCACGCTCACATTGTCTATATGCCTGTAAAGTGTATCAGATAATTTTTCCAATATTAATGATCCTCTTAAATTTGCACACGGCTGACAACGCATCTGCATTTTATACGCAAACGGCAATAGATGTAGATGTCTATGGGCCACAGCAACTACCAACAATCAAGTGGACTGTGTGCTCGCTTGTAACTCTTATCCTATAAAAAAACGTGTAGTACGACTTGATTAAACCTCCATCTTCAACAGGCTTTGCAATCTTTAAGGTATAGACGACACCCATAACCATAGTCTCCTCTTATGGTTCCCATAGGACTAGGAAGTTTGTCTTACACGGCTTACAAAAGACATGATTGTAAATACTTGATTTTTTTTTTTATTAGCATTTATGGACAGTGGCGGTGGAAGAAGCACAGCTGTTACATGAATTGCGTCTCATGAAAGATTTCTATCTGTTGGGGCGTGGAGAGCTATTTCTGGAACTACTGCGTCTTACTGCACATATGTTGGACAAACCCACTACTAGAACTTCAACAAGAGGTAATAATATTTCGTTTACTTTGTTAGTGGTTGTAAAAGTATTTTTGATGCGCCCATTGCGTTGTCAAGTTTTGAAAGGATCTAATATAAAGAGAAATTAATTTTAAATACGTAGATTTCAAATTAGTTTATTTTATATTTTTGATTTTAAATGTTTTCTATTTATATTTGGACAGGGTTCTTTTTAATATTCTGAATAATTTAAACCGTTAATAAGTGTTAGAAACGTATATACATCTTAACTAAGCTTTCTTTTTTTTTCTAGACATGAACCATGCATTTCAGTTGGCCGCTAGAGCTGTTTTTTTAAGCAACAGCGCTGATATTGAGAAGTTCAGCTTTGAGTTGCCGTACGTGAAACCAAATTTATCTGCGAACTCTACTCTCGACGATGACAGCAGTACTGGTGTGTTATTGTTCTGTATTAAACATTAAATCAACAAGGAGCTGAACAGCCCTTACATCAAATACATACATACATACATAAACACTCACGCCTGTCACCCAGAGGGGTAGGCAGAGACTACGGACTTCCATTTGGCGCGATCCTGACACACCTCTCTCGCCTCTTTTACATCCATATATCTACGCATACACGCTCGTCGGTTAAGGGTACTCCTAATCTGGCCCATTTTTAATGTGTCGCCGATTTGGTCGATAAACTTTCGTCTAGGGCGTCCCTTTCCGACCCTGCCGTTCACTTCTGAAACATAAATTTGCTTTGTCACTCTTTCCTCGTTCATTCTTTCTACATGACCAAACCACCGAAGCATTCCTTCTTAATCCTTGTCACAACGTCATCTTGCAAACCACACTTTTCTCTTATCACACTATTTCTCACCCTGTCATTCAGATTCAGCCCTAGCATACTCCTTAAGGAACGCATTTCTACAGCATTTATTCTACTCTCATGCTTCTTCTGCCAGACCCAACTTTCACTACCATACATTAAAGTAGGGACTAACACAGCATATGAATTGCCATACGTGCCTTAGTTGACACATTCTGACTCCTCATAATAGCGTGTAGAGCCCCATTCACTCTATTTCCTGCGTTCACTCGTCGTTCTATATCCTTATCATATCTACCATCCCTGCTAAATAAACATCCCAAATATACAAACTCATCCACTTGCTCAATCAACTCCCCTTCTATTCTTATTTCACATAAAGTTTTACTTTCTTCTCTTTCAAAAACCATCACTTTCGTCTTACTTGCGTTCACTTTCATACCCCTTTCTTTCAATGACCATTTCATTAAAGTAACCATCATTTGCAACTCTGCCGCCGACGATGCAAATATGACTTGATCATCGGCGTACAAAAGGCATTTGACGGTTGACTCACCCATTCTCAACCCACATTCTACAACTTTCAAAGTTTGCAAACAACTGTCCATAAATAGGTTAAACAGCCACGGGGAAGCCACGCATCCCTGTCTGACACCTTTATGAATGCCAAACCAGTCCGAGTAGACCCCGTTGATCCTGACACAAGCACTAGAGTCCCTATAAAGAGACCTTAATGCCTGTATCAAGCCAGCGCTCAACCCAAATGAGTTCAGTGTTTGCCATAACACATTCCTGTCCACTCTGTCATAAGTCTTTTCCAAGTCCATGAACGCACAAAAAACTTTCTGGTTTTTGGCCAAAAACTTCTCCGCTATCATGCGCATGGAAAAGACTTGATCCGTACACCCCATTCCCTTTCTAAATCCAGCTTGCACATCCCAAATGTTTCCATCAGTTTCTTCCATAACTCTTTCAATTAACACCTTAGCATACAGTTTACCCACAATGCTAAGCAAGCTGATACCACGGTAGTTTTTACAGTCCTGCTGCGACCCCCTTCCCTTATATATTGGGACTATAACGGCTTTGCACCAGTCTTCCGGTACCCGCTTCAGTTCCCAACACAAATTAAACAAGGTGTACAGCAGGCCTGCAACCACACCCTCACCAGCCCTTAGCATTTCGAGGGATACTTTATCATATCCGGCTGCCTTACCTGCTTTCATGCTTTTCATTGCTTTCATTATTTCATCTATACTTATCTCCCTACCTCTCTCCACTTCTTCCGGAATTTCTATTTCACTTATTTCACACGACTCTTCACTCTTAAACACGCTTTCAAAGTATTCCTTCCATCTCTTTAAATTCGAAACTTCATCATTCAACATGCAGCCATTCTCGTCTCATATAGCATTCATTCTAGGCTGTTTTGAATTTCCCCTGGCAGTTCTTACGAGCTTCCAGAACATTTTAATATTTTCCTGGAAGTTATCAGATATCCTTCTATCATTTTTATCTATACTTTCTTGCTTCTTCCTTTCAACAACTTCTTTTACTCTCTTATTTATACGTCTAAAGTCTGCCTTTTTTCTTTCAATCTCATCATTCATACCGCCAGAATTACCAGCTTTAGTTGCTAGTAAATCTAGCCATGCTCTCTTCTTTGCTTCAACTTCCATCCGTACCTCATCATCCCACCACAACGTATTACTTTTCCTTTCATTTGTTTTCTTACTTACACCACATACTTCGGTGGCTGCATCCACCAAAACTTTCTTAATATTATTCCATACATTTTTCAATTCTAAATCGTTCATACATAATTCATTCAACCCACTTATATTTTCCCTCAGTCTGCATTTATACTTCTCTTTCACACCTTCAACTTGTAACCTCTCTATTCTTATACGCTGTAACGCAGTGGTAGACACAGATGTCCGATGCCGCCAACGTCTGAATAGACCATTAATTCGGCGTAAGACCAAGTAATGATCCGTCTCTACGTTGGACCCCCGGTAAACCCTTGTATCTACCACTGCGCTCCTCATTCTTTCATCCACAATTATAAAATCTATCATGCTTCTATCATCCCCTCTTTCCCATGTATACATGTGAATCCTCTTATGGCGAAAGAAAGTGTTCGCCACAAAAAGATTCCTTTCCACACATATACGGTGAGGAGGTTTTTTTTTTGTTTTTTTTTTTTATAGGATAAGGGTGACAAACGAGCACACAGTCCACCTGATGGTAAGTGGTTACTGTGGCCCATAGACATCTACATCTATCCTCTATTACAACTGAAAATGTAGACGCGTCGTCACCCGTGAGGACTAAGATGGAATACCTCATTTCCAGTAAAAAGGGCCTCCGGCCACCTGCACTCACCAAGCGAAACGCAGAGGTAAACCTCTACTTCACGCTGGTTTTCTGTGAGGTCGTGGTACCACCCCGGTTCGAGCCGGCCCATCCGTGCGGCAGCAGAAGCTGCCGCGTGGCTCTACCACTGTAAAAACTGTCTTCACCATTCTCATTTATTCTTTCATCGCCAAACGTTCCTAATATCCTTTCATAACCAGACCTCTTCACCCCAACCCTTCCATTAAAATCTCCTAACATAATAATATTTTCATTTTCCTTACAATACAAATACAGTAAAATAATTACTCGCTAACGGCTTACTTTATTATGGTTGATTAATGCTTATTTGAATTGAGTGTTATCTCTATACTACCGCCGTCTAGTGGCGGTGTAAGAATATCCACTATCTTCCCTATGAGGCAATCTATGGGGAGGCCTATGTTCAGCAGTGGACTTTAAGTGGCTGTAACAATAAAGGTATCTCTATACCTGTCTCTTTATATTGTTAATGAGGGCTAATAATTTTCTGCTCACCAGATGTCACTAGTTGACACTGAGGTAAAGTTTTTTCTTACACAATGTAATTTAATTGAGAAGTTGTTTTTTAATAAAAGTGTATCAGTTTCTAGAGTATTATATTAATACACAAAACAATGCGTCAATGGTTTGCTCTTTAATTTTTTGTACATTTTTAAGTTTTTTTTTATTTTTTCTACTTTTATGAATATCTGTGTTTTGGTTTATTTATTTTTAATTAACAAATTCCCCATTATGAAATCTGTCAAATATTATACCTCACTTTCTAGTGGCAGCCCCCTGGTGGCAGAAAAAGTCCATTAGTGAAGAGAAAAAAAGAGCAACTATAAGTAATTATTAAATTGATGTTGATATTTATGAGTGAGGCCGAGAACTATTATTACAAATAAAACGATGTAATAGAAAAACTTTTTATTTTGATTTTTTTGAGATAGCTGTTTGAATGAAAAATAAAACTGAAATAGGTCATGTAAAATAACTTAGCATAAGTTAAAATCGGGAACTTTTAAATATTGTCTATAATTGAAGAGACGACAGAGAGGAAAATGAAAAACGAGATGGCGAGCTACATCTCCCTGATATCAACTCAAAATAATAAAAACTGCAGTTTCATACTCGCCTGCCAAGTGTGGCAACTATTAACAATATCCCCCATATGAAGCAATCTATGGCGATATCTATGTTCAGCTTCAGCAGTGGACTGAGAGTTTGTGATGAATACTTGCTTATAAATGAAAGAATACATTTCGGTGAATTTGATGTTGCAGACAAACATTCTTTTCATAGATTTAGTAACTAACTAACGTTAGAATAGATTGGCAATGCAAAAGAGAAAGAGCATAGTTTACGCGTATGTCAGAGCGAGAAAGATAGAGACGGAGATTTTGCAAAGACAAATTCCGTTTGTATTTGCAAAATCTCAGGTTTTAAAGTGAAAATTATTGTTTAATAGACACAATTAATTATGACTAGGTGTAGGTACGATTGAAATGTTTAGCTGTCTAAATGCTGTGTTTTAGAGCATGTACAAATAATTTTTACTTCAATGGATAGAAAATTTAATCACATTTTACTATAATAATCATCTGAATGCTAAGCATTTTAATTTAAAATAATTACAAATACGTGAAATTCTGCTAATTTTAACCGCACTTTTGTAGAGATTGACATTATCGATAATATCTTATCGAAATGTCCTTTACAAGCAAAGTATATACTTGCATGCAGCCTTATTCAACTTAATAATATATTTTTTTTAATTTTTAGGTTACCGTAGTTAAATATTATTCTAATCGTATGAAAAAAATATTTTTAATAGAAGTATGGTGACAAACGATCGCGCAGTTCACCTGATGGTAAGTGGATGCTCTGGCAGATTTTCACAAAATGTTGATATTCGACAAAAATGGTTGAAAATAATAAATAGAGAAGAATTAGATCACAAAAGAAAATAGTCGACTATATGCAGCAAGTACTTGAAGAAAAATGTTTTTCTCATAGAGGTACCCACTGTGTAGTGGCGGTGTAAGAATATGTACTACCCCATATCATCCCGTGCGTGTTGTAAGAGGCGACAGACGGAAACAAATCAAGAGATGGGCAGCAGCGACTTCCTGTTAACGACTAAAAAAAAATGGTTGCCAAGCGTGGTAACTAAGACAAATAACCCCCCTATGAGGCAATCTATGTTGTAGAGGTGACAGTGTTCTTGGCACAATACCACAGGGAGTAGGAATGTATGATAATTTAAGTTTTTGTTTTAGTTTTTCTTATAGATAAATATTAACATTGAAATAAATACTATTATATAATAGTGTATATATATATATATATATATATATATATATAGTAGTATTTATTTCAATGTTTCATTACGTCCACAATAAGCCGCCATGTTAGTTTTTATGTCCACACATGCACATTACACGCACACTGATGTATTTTGATTTTGGTCTCGCCGTAATCACTCCATTGCCAATCTATACTATACTACATCTATGATGTTAACTATATTATACTAAGTAAACTATATAGTTTTATATAACGCAAATGGCCACATGGACTTATACTTTGAGAGACATGTTTGTGTTTGGTCTTGCCCCATAGTATTTGCTACATAACAGCCCGCGAGCGAGTAAGATGCCTGACAATGTTTTTATTTTTTATTTTTATAGGATAGGGGTGACAAACGAGCACACAATCCACCTGATGGTAAGTGGTTGCTGTAGCCCATAAACATCTACATCTATCTTCGATTACGAATCAAAATGCAGATGCGTGTCACCCGTGAGGACTAAGATGGAATGCCTCGTTTCCAGTAAAAAGAGTCGCCGGTTCTCTACACTTACCATACGAAACAAAGCAGCGTTAAGCTGCTATTTTACCCTGGTATTCTGTGAGAGCGTGGTCCTGCCCCGGTCGAGCCGACCCATTCGTGCTACAACCATAACATAGCTGCAGCATGGCTGTACCACGTTTCAAAACTTCGTGAGTGAACGAACCACAGATAATCTTAGCAGCGCAATAAATCTGTCGCTGTTTTAAAGTTTTTATTCTGTTTCCAGTGTTTCACTTTTTAGGCAAGCTGGGCTTTTTTGTCTTGTTTGTTGTAGGAGGTACTGTTGCTGTTTACAAGTTATTATTAAAATTGGCGGTTTCTTTAGTTGCAGATGGCTGGTCAACTATAATTTTAAAGTACGACTTCAAGTGGCCTCTGCACCTTCTTTTCGCTCCGGAGGTATTGGCGCGTTACAACGACATGTTTCGTCTTTTGCTTCGAATAAAGAAGACTCAACACGATCTTCACGCCTTGTGGAAAACTTACAAACAGTCAAGACGGTTGGTAATATTTTTCGAGGCTCTTGGGTATTTAGCATCAGAATTTGTGGGATACAATATTGTGAGTTACATAACTAAAAATAAAATATTTATTTTGGTTTTTGGGTTTATTAAAAGCTGTAGCTGCTGTACCTATCATAATTATTGTCATTGTAATCAAGCTACTGCTGACCTTAGGCCTCATTCGAGGCGCATTAATAATAATGCTAGATTCCCAATAAGCGCTTCAAAAACGGCCCGAAAAATAAGACCACAAATACTTTTGTGATCTTATTTTTCGGGCCATTGTGCTAGTCCATATTTTTTGTTTGTACAATTAAGTTTTTTTTTTTAAATTGAGTTGCAAGAATGAATAAATATGTTCTTACTTTCTCTTGTTTTGACGTGTGATTTAACGTGTCATGTACACCATTAAGTTACGTTATAGTAAGGTTTTGCCGTGTAATGGCGGTTAAGAATATACACTACCCCATATCTTCCCGTGGGTGTCGTAAAAGGCGACAAAGGGAAACAGGCAGGAGATGGGCAGCAGCATCTTCCTGGTAACGGCAAAAATACAATAAAAAACTGCGGTTGCCAACCCGCTCGCCAAGCGTGGCAACTATGGCAATATACCCCCTATGATGAAAGTTACGAAGAGACGGCCCCCAGTCCCCGGTGGCTCCGCTATTCCTGGCTACGGTGGCGACCATGGTGACGGCGGGGCAGGGGGTGCTAAGAATCTGCGGTGGAGGTTCGGTTGCCACCTACGACGACTCGACCTGGCAACATACAACGCACGCACCCTGAGGACTGACGAGAAGATTGTGGAGCTGGAAGAAGAGATAGACAAGTTACGCTGGCATATTATAGGATTATCCGAAGTTCGAAGAGAGGGGGAGGACACGGTAATCCTCGAATCCGGCAACTTGCTCTATTACCGGGAGGGCGACCATCTGTCCCAAGGAGGTGTCGGATTTATCGTCCACAAGTCTCTCGTTAACAACGTTGCAAAGATTGAGAGTGTGTCGACGAGGGTTGCGTACCTAATACTCAGAATCACCAAACGGTATTCGGTGATGGTCATACAGGTTTACGCACCAACCTCGGCACACCCCGATCAGGAGGTGGAGGAAATGTATGAGGATATCTCTAGAGCCATGCATTCCTCCAAAACCCAATATACGGTGTTAATGGGAGACTTCAATGCAAAACTAGGCACAAGAGAACGGTGAGCTGAAAGTAGGGAAATTTGGAATAGGGCAACGGAACCCAAGGGGTCAGCAGCTGGCCGACTTCATGGAGAAAGAGGGACTCTTTATGATGAACTCTTTCTTCCAGAAGCGGCCCCACATGAAGTGGACCTGGTCGAGCCCCGACGGTTCGACAAAAAATGAGTCGACTTCATTATGACGGCCAGACGACAACTGTTCAGTGATGTCTCAGTGATCGCGAGGGTGAAAACCGGCAGCGATCACCGAATGGTTAGAGGCACACTGAACCTAAACGTTAAGTTGGAGAGGTCTCGTCTAATGAAGTCAACGCTCCGTCCCCCTCATGCTCTAATCCAAAGTCCCGAAACCTTTCAGCTCGAGTTACAAAACCGTTTTCAGTGCCTAGAAGACTGCAATGAAGTGGATGATATGAATGACAAGCTCGTGGAAACTGTCCATGCGGTCGGAGCTAAGTTCTGCAAGACCCGCCGCAGAAGAACACAAAAACTCTCCGATCACACTCTTAATCTCATGGCTGTTAGACGGAAGATGAAGCTGCATTCTTCAACAAATTTGACAGCATACAGACAACTGAACAGACATATCTCCAAATGCATGCGGTGGGACTTACGCAACTTCAATACAGCTCGTATTGAAGAAGCGATCGAGCGGAACCAAGGCTCCAGTCTTTGCCAGAGATCTGTCTGCCAGAAAGAGCCAACTGTCAAAGCTGAAGAACGAATGTGGCAGCATCGTTTCCGGGGCACCTGAGATTTTGAGTGAGATTGAGAGGTTCTATGGGCAGCTGTACACGTCATCGTTGGAGCCGCACGCATGAGTAACGATCCAAGAGCGAGTCTTATCCGACATTATTCCGATGATATCCCGGACGTCAGTCTGAGCGAGATTAGAATGGCTCTCCAGCACCTTAAAAACGGCAAGGCCCCAGGCGAGGATGGAATAACAGCGGAGCTTCTGAAAGCGGGTCGAAAACCGGTACTTGAAGTTCTTCAAAAGCTCTTTAATTCCGTCCTCCATGGTGGCATTACACCGGAGGCGTGGAGCAGAAGTGCGGTGGTCTTGTTCTTCAAGAAAGGCGACAACGCTCTCTTGAAGAACTACAGACCGATTTCCCTTCTGAGCCGCGTCTACGTGCTGTTTTCGAGAGTCATTTCGCGTCTTTTCCGGTACTCCTACTCCCAAGGCGTAGTCCCGAATTCATGGAAGACAGCTTTTATCCATCCGATCCCTAAAAAAGGCGACCGCTCAGACCCATCCAACTATAGGCCTATCGCGATCACCTCCTTGTTCTCCAAAATAATGGAATCCATTATTAACTGCCAGCTCATCCGGTACCTTGAGGATCACCAGCTGATTAGTGACCGCCAATACGGTTTTCGTCGGGGTCGATCAGCTGGTGATCTTCTGGTCTACCTGACCCATAGATGGGCGGAGGCAGTAGAGTCCAAGGGGGAGGCGTTGGCCGTTAGTCTGGACATTGCGAAGGCCTTCGATCGGGTTTGGCACAAAGCGCTTCTTTCGTAGCTCCCTTCCTATGGGCTTCCCGAGAAATTGTGCAATTGGATCACCAGCTTCCTTGCAGATCGGAGCATCAAGGTCGTTGTAGACGGTGCATGCTCTGACTACAAGCCTATTAACGCTGGTGTTCCACAAGGCTGTGTGCTATCACCAACGCTGTTTCTTCTGCATATCAATGATATGTTGCTAACTGGTAACATTCATTGCTATGCGGATGACAGCACTGGTGATGCTCTATACACCGGCCGTGCCAATATTTCTCGGGAAAACGTCGCTGAGTACCGGAACAAACTTGTGTCTGAAGTCGAGTCTTTGCTGAACAAAGTCTCGGATTGGGGGCGACTAAATCTAGTCCAATTTAATCCTCAGAAGACACAAGTTTGCGCGTTTACCGCTAAAAAGAACCCCTTTGTCGTATCTCCTCAGTTTCAAGGCACTCCCCTTCTTGCCTCAGCCAGTATCGGTATCCTCGGAGTCGACATATCGAGTGACGTGCAGTTTCGTGGTCACTTGGAAGGGAAGGCCAAATTGGCCTCTAAAAAGCTTGGCGTGCTCAGCAGAGCGGGACAGTATTTCATGCCGGCACACCGCCTGCTACTTTACAAGGCGCAAGTTCGGCCTCACATGGAATACTGTTCCCATCTCTGGGCAGGGGCTCCCCAGTGCCAGCTCCTTCCACTTGACCGCATCCAACGCAGAGCGGCTCGAATTGTCGACGACCGAGCCCTTTCCGATCGGCTCGATTCATTGGCACTGCGAAGAGATGTTGCATCCCTTTGCATTTTCTTTCGCATCTACCATGGGGAGTGCTCTGAGGAATTGTTCGGATTAATCCCAGCCGCCAAATTTCACGAACGCACATCGCGGCAGAACTCCCGATACCATCCACACCATCTGGATGATTGGCGGTCCACCACTGTGCGATTTAGAAGATGTTTTCTTCCTCGCACGACCTCCTTGTGGAATCGATTACCATCAGCGATTTTTCCGGACCGATACGACTTAGGGACCTTCAAGAAAAGAGCGTACTCCTTTTTAAAAGGCCGGCAACGCATCTGCGATTCCCCTGGTGTTGCAGTTGTTCATGGGCGGCGGCAGTCACTTACCATCAGGTGAGCCGCATGCTCGTTTGCCCCCTCTCCTATAAAAAAAAAAAAATCGTCTCGCGCGCAGACTTGACGACTTCCAGCCTCCCGAACAAGCCGGTTTCCGAAAAGGCTTTAGCACCATAGACCACATACATACCCTTCGGCAAATTGTACAGAAGTCCGAGGAGTACAATTTGCCACTATGTCTAGCGTATGTGGACTATGAGAAATCCTTTGATTCCGTCGAAATTTGGGCGGTGCTGCAGTCTCTTCAGCGATGCCAAGTTGACTGTCGGTATATCGAAGTGTTGAAGTGCTTGTACAGTAGGGCTACGATGGCTATCCGAGTACAGAACCAGAGTACGAAACCTATCCAATTGCAGAGAGGTGTAAAACAGGGTGACGTCATATCCCCGAAACTCTTTACCGCTGCATTGGAAGATGTTTTCAAGCTTCTGGACTGGAAAGGATACGGTATCGACATCAATGGCGAGTACATCACTCACCTTCGATTTGCCGACGATATAGTCCTTATGGCAGAATCGCTGGAGGACCTAAGCACTATGCTCAATGACCTCAATAGTGTTTCCCAACGGATAGGTCTTAAGATGAACATAGACAAAACAAAGATCATGTTTAATGTCCATGTCACACCTATGCCGGTAGTTGTTGGGAACACTAAGCTCGAAGTTGTTGACGAGTATGTTTACCTGGGACAAATAGCCCGACTAGGTAAGTCCAACTTCGACCGAGAGGTCAATCGACGGATTTAACTCGGTTGGGCAGCGTTCGGGAAATTACGGCACATCTTCTCGTCAGGTATATCTCAAAACTTGAAAACGAGACTGTACACCCAGTGCGTGTTGCCAGTGATGACATACGGAACTGAGACGTAGTCCTTCACTGCTGGCCGGATGAGGAAGCTCAAGGTCGCTCAGCGAGCTATGGAGAGGGCTATGCACGGAGTTTCTCTGCGTGATAAACTCAGAAATGAGGATATCCGCAGTAGAACCAGAGTGACCGACATAGCCCAACGGATTAGTAAGCTGAAGTGGCAATGGGCCGGCCATATAGCTCAAAGAACCGACAACCGATGGGGAAGAAAGGTTCTCGAGTGTCAGCCTCGTACCGGCAGGCGAAGTATAGGGCGTCCCCCCACTAGATGGAGTGACGACCTGGTAAGATATGCAGGAAGTCGATGGATGCAGGTGGCTCAGGACCGTGCTTTGTGGCATTCTTTGGGGGAGGCCTATGTTCAGCAGTGGACATGTGAAGGGCTGTAATGATGAAAATGATGATGATAGTAATTTTAATAATAGACTTTTTATTTTCGCCGCCAGGTTTGCTATGTGTCAACTGCACAACAAGCTCATGTTCTTAATGGATAATCTGCAACATTATTTGCAAGCGGATGTCTTGGAGACGAATTTCTCTCGACTCATGGAAACAGTGAATAAGACAAATGATTTCGAAAAACTAAAGAAAGCTCACGCTACTTTCCTTGCTGATATTTTAAGTCAATCGTTTTTGACTGTTACGTCGGTAAGCTTTAACTTTAGCTTTGATAATATTAATAAAAGAAATTAAAAAATTACTACATTTATACATTCATTATCTTTATAAATCTCAAAAAAGCAACACTACAGTATCTTTGTGTAGTAAATGTATCAGATTTACGAATTGTATTTCTGACATAAATTATTGTGTAATCCTTATAGAAAATAAAGCCTTTTGTCTGAAAATAAGATATTCAGTTAATTTACAAATTTAGAGGTTTGTGCTTAACGGAGAGCATTTTTTCTTTTCTTAGTCTCTACTCAGGTATTATCGTAATTGCTAATTAGTATTTATGTTAATTTTCTTTTCAGCCATCGGAAAATGAGTCTGCAGGCGATGCTGCGGATTCTATTAACAATCCGGTATTTGTCAATATTATGGAACTATTGAAACTGTGTGATTCGTTCTGTAGTATGAGTGAGTTTGCATCGGATAAAGATGCTGAGGACTACTACATTAAGGGGTACTCAGATAGGTGAGTTTATATTTACTATAGTACAAAAAATCTACGAAATGCCTTTTGACACCTAAGTCAATTAATTATTCAAGTCAAATTTATTGGACTAAAAAGGTTGTTGCCTACAGTTCGATTATCTTTATGAATTCGATTATTAAGTGATATCAATATCGATTCCTTAGGGTTGGTAATCTGTTACAGTTTTATAATGCCAGAATAAATTAGAACCGGATAACTACCACAGAAAAATTGCTAAAGTGCGACTACCACGACTGGGTGGGGCTCACAAAATTTGTACCATAACGCTCTAGAACTCTGTAAAGGCAGGGCTATATTGTACTAGAACTTATTAAAATCTTACCATAATTACGAGTACAAATAATATTATTATATATATTGCCATTAATACTTAGTTGTTTTTGCTCTGACTTATACCCAAATGGAAATAAACATCACTCAAATTGTAACGTTTTATTAAAACTTTGTTTCCTTATTAATGATAGAAATTTTAAAGTTATATCAAATCAAAATAGGGAATATGACGTATTTCTCCATTTAGACTAAGGTTTTTATTTTGGTGACATCACTAGAAACTATTCTTGAGCACTTTTTTTCAATATTTTTATTAGTTTTCAAGAGTTATTCAAGGAAAATGTTTAGCTAATTTTCTTCTATAAACATGTCAGCTCTGGTGTATGGAGTACGTTTTTCTTGCTCATTATTATAAATTGCTTTCAGTGGTAACTTTTACATAAAAAAATTTTTTGTCTTATTAAATCAAGTAATTGTTTGTTTCTCTATTTAGATCTTTGTAGAGTTTTTTTTAGAGTTTGTTAAGATTTATTTGGGGTGCTTCTATGGCAATAGAAGTGAAGACACGATTATAATTACATAATATACACATTTATTCACATTCAAGCAAAAATTTTATACCCACTTTCGGGCCCTACCGTAGTCGTTTAAAGGCAATGTGAGCTTAACACTATCCAGTGTGTTATGTAACACAACATAACACACCAAATCGAACCCGCGAGAAGATTCTTGTGTTTATATGATTAAAGTATCCGCAAATTCAAAGAAATTTTAGAAAGAAATCCATAAAACACGACTTCAACAGATATTTATTTAGTATCTATGCTTCATATAATGAAAGATAAACACATACATTAAAAATTCTGGGTTTAATATCCAATATTTTCGATGAACAAAAGGGACACTGCAAATACCCTCATTTTTGTAGCTAGACTAAAATGGCTGACATTAAATTGACACTTGATAGATGTTGTTATAAGGGTTTGCCACCCTACAAAACAAGTTCTAATGTAATTAGCACTAAATTACGAAAGTTATCGTGTAACGCATTACTCTAACGCACTAGAAAATTATGAGGGACACGTGTTTAAAGTTAAAGTTACCAAATTTTTTGCGTCTACAAATAACTTATGAATAAAATGAGTTTATTTTTCTATGATTTTTCAAATAAAAATGTATTTTAATTAAAGCCACAGAAAAGAACAAACATTTTTAGGAATATCTAATGACTTATATCATTATACTCTATTCAAGTGTTGTCATTTACTATATTTATATTATTTTCGTATACACTTTGTAAGACTACCAACACAACACACAAACACAAAATATTTTTATATTAAGTTATTATTAGTAATAACTATACTATCAGTAATAATAGAAATAAAAGTGATATGGTTGAAAATAAGACTTACAAAGAACTTCCTACAATAATACATTATCTAAATCTACTATGTAACAATTCCATTTAATGTTATGGCAACACTAGCTAAAACAAAATGTCACTGTTTCTATTTCCAAGTGACATAAGAGATAACCTAAAAAGGTTCAAATCTAAATTTGTTTTCTTGACGCCTTCTCAGGATAAAATTCTTTGACAAAGTTATTCAGGGACTGACGCTTAACATTTTAAGATATTTTTATTATATAGATGCTAACATTCCTTCTCAACTAATTTTATGTATGAAAGTCTGCCATTGTTCTTTGTGATTTCGCAAGAAATTGTAAGATTTTGCGAGAATTTTAGATAAAATACTATAAATTAATTCATATTCTAACAATGAAGGAAGAAATAATAATAAAGGCGTAATTAAAAAAATAAAATTAAAACATTGTCGACGGACAGCCCTGGAACATTTAAGTTTTGTATGGAGCCAAAAACAAAAGATTGAAAGTTTTATAAACCAAAATATTGCGTAAATTGAAGATTTGTGAATTCCATTTGGAATTACCTTTTTTTTGATGTCTTCATTTTAATGCAACAAATAAAATTCTATAAAAAATACTAACATTTAAGGTTAAACAGATGTCCGCGATTTTTTTTTCAAAACTACAATATTTTGAGCCCCACCCGACTACGTCCTATTTTCGACATTATATTGATCATGACACACTTTATACTTGCCAGTATAAAGCTTGTCAAGGTCAACGAAAAAAAGTCACAAATTAAAATGACAAAATGAGATTATTCACGCAAACACAAAAGTATACACACCAATATGGCGAAACAATGCATAATGCTCACTGCACAAGTTGTGTTTAAATGAAAATTGAAAAAAAAAAACAAAATCTGGTTAAATTTTTAACTATTTTGCTTTGTTTGAAAAATTTAATTTATAGTAATTAAAAATGTACACTGTGTAATGAAATACGAATAACTTCATAAGTCCTTGTCTTTACGTAAAAGGTTGTTTGAAAAGGCTTGTATAAGGTATTTGTTGCACTTTAATAATTCCGGTTACTGAATTCGATATTTAACATAAAATTTTATTTTTCACTGCATGTATGTATTTGCGAACTAACCCTGACAACACATGCTTTTATGACAAGTTAAACAAATCACCTTGTGGTTGTGATGTAGGAAAATCAAAGATCTAATTATGTGCATAGTTGATTTAATTAGAGATCCACGAGACGAAATGGGTTGATATACTCGTATTATGCTATATGGCTAGTAAAGTTACAACCTGTGTTCGTCATTTCTGGACACAGGCCTCCGTCTTTTCTGAAGGGGTTTTTGGGACAAGGCAACAGATGCATTGTCACCTCTAAGGACTAAGATGGAATGCCTCGCAGTTTGTAATTATATCGGCTCTCTATACCGTGTAGACCGAAACACTGTAGTGCACGCACTGTTATTTGACTGTAAGGATGGTAAGAGGGTGGTACCTAAACAGATGGACTCTTAGCATCTAGTGAACATGTCTTCGATTTGTTTTATTTCACAGACATGCAGGTTTCGTCTTGGTGTTTTCTTCACTGCTTTCACTTCTTTCACCATGTCATAAATGAGTACTTAAAATCACAAGTAACAATTTCATTGGTGTGGATCGAAACCCACTGGTCGAATTATTCGGTATTGCCGGATCATTATCTGAATCGTGATAGATCTACATCCATTAATGATGCGAAGGATACGGGTCAGTGCAATTTTTTCCACTCTAGTGCTCCTACAACGGGAATTGGCTCGTAAACCGTCACAGACAATTCCAATTATGGCGTGTGATTATAGAATATCTTTTAATCATTCTCAAAATTGATCCCTTGCAGTGGCTTATTTTCACGTTGTTTTTGTAGAATCTGTATAAACTTCGGGAATATTTCACTGATTCTTCTGAAAGTCACTGAAATTTTCGCAATGGTGAAGAAATAACCCTTTATCGTGAAGTTAGTGCATTACTGTACTTTGGCTTTCTACCGTCTGTTAACCGTGGCGGCAAAGCGAAGTAGCTTTCAGATTAAAATTTTCATACTCAATTTTATATACGAAGTTTTAGAAGGGGTTTACGCGCGGCAAACGAATTGTTCGTAAAACATCAGCATGTGTGTTTAGCTATTATTTGTTAATATTGTTTTAATTATGGTTGGCAGGTTCAACAAATTGGTGAAACAACTAACTCAGCTACTAGTTTCTTTGCGCGAGCGCGCTTGCGGAGCTTTCTTGGCGCGTCTGCTCATGCGCCTCGATTACAACCGCTGGCTCAGTGCTGAAGCTGAATTGACGCGCTCTCTGACGCATATGCTGCGTTGCTGATGCGTGCGTTACTACTAGCACAAGTCACTACTGACGCGCGCCAACGCTGCTGAAACTATGCATTGAACCAAATTCACGCTACTGTACTATCAGTAAGTTAATGATTAAAGTGAATAATGAAAGAACAGTTGTTTTCTTATAATTAGTATTTTACAATAATAATAAATTTGATTCAGGCAATAAAGTATTAGGTATATATAGTACAAGAATAAGTGTTCGCGCCAAACACTTTCAAGGATTGACGCGAGAGGGCGCTCGGCGCGGTGCATTCATACCGGTTTGACTTTCGGTCGTGCGAAAAACGCCCAAGGGCAGTCAGTCGACTTTAGGCAGTGCTAACGATTGGTACACTGTCATTCTGTTAGGGAACTCGGAATAATTAGGTGCGGCCCGTAAATATACGGTCTAGGATTTTGTGACGCGCATTCCTGCTGGAGAGCTTCCCGGGACTTATTGGGTCCGACTCAGAATCTGTATAAGTGCATTCGACAATATTAGCTAGTGCGGCCTCTAATATTCTAGAACTAACTGTTGCAACGCGGAACGGTAGCGACCTTTGGTCCAGAGGCTCCGTGTGCGTTTTGTGCGGTAACCTTATACCCCGCGATAGTTAGTGGCTTCTGTAAGTTAGTTAATCGCACGATAGAGTTAATTGACTGTCATCGTGTCGAAAGAGGAAAGTGATTGTGGTCCGGCGCCGAAGCAGTCTGAAGCGGTGCAGCGTTTTGGAGCAGCCTGGAACTCGGCCGCGGCTGGTCGCCTATGCTTGTCAAGGCCCCAAACATTCACACCTCACTGTACACTACTCGCCATCCACTATTACACACACTCACGGCCTGCCCAAGCCTTATTGCGAAGTTAGCTTCGGATAATGGTAAGTACTAGTCTTTCTAACGTCCTCCCATCTGGTTTATTGTAATTAGGAATTTCCAGGTGGCTACATTGAGGCCCGACCTACGTCTGCTCGGGAAGTCTTCTGCTCATGGGCCCCAGAGGATTGGATCCTTTAAGGGAGCAGCCGTAGGCCGTAACAAACTGGTAGCAGAGCGCGGTTCCGGGTTCGATTCCCCGGTCGATCCCGACCATAGTGTTTGATAAACATTAAACAATTCTGGTGGCAGGGAGCGTTGGTTTGATTGGTTTAATTTGTATCTACAATCACGCCCGTCCGTAATACGTAAAAATATTTTTTTTGTACGTAATAATTAAATTATTTCCCTTTGTTGTTTGTTGCTTGCCTTTTTTTTTGGTTAGTGGGTAATTTGAAAAACCGCGCTCTAGGTTGCGCAAGCGGGAGTTTTTCTAGAGATATACGTCATGTAGATGGTTATTTTTACGTAATCGGTTAATTATCGTTATCGGATAGTTGTAGTGGATTACTTATCGAAGGGTCGATTTCCGAGCTAGGCATTTTTTGTTGATCGACCGTGATGTGTATCTTCGTTTGTATTGTAATTTGTATTTGAACTAAAGAGTAGTAATTGTATTTGCTCAATTTGAATTTAACTTGATTTGATCGCACTAGTATTTGTTATTTGTTCATTTGATTTGTGTCTTTTCTTTTGTGCTAACTTGTATTTGGTTGATACGTAGTAATTCGTATTTGTGTAATTTCTATTCAACGCGATTTGATAGGAACTGCATTTATTAATAACTGTTAATTTTTTGGTGTATTTTTTATTTGTTATCTTTGTAATTTGTGCTCGAGCCGCGTCGTAATTTGTATTTAGTAGTGATGTCATCGCCCAAGCTACTGATCCGTTGTCTGCGGACTGAGTTGCGCTGGGCCACAAGCGCCCATGCTTTGATAGGTCGACCGGATAGGGTCCATAACTTGATGAAGCGGTTCGAGCAGGTGGATGCTCGAAGGGCCGCAGTGGAGGAGGCTTACGCTGAGCTCGAGGATTCGGATGTGGAGAAGGGAGTGCTGGACTCCTGCTTCGCGGACTATGAGCAGTTCTTGTGGCTCACGGACGAGTTGATCGAGGCTGAAGGCAGGTATGCCGAGGAGTCCTCTCTGAAGCAGCTTCAGCCGGAGCTGTTGGGACGACTCCCAACTCTGGACCTGCCAAGGTTCTCCGGGGTCCTTTCCGAATGGCTGACCTTCGTTGGTCTTTTCGACAGCCTAGTGGACGCTCGGAGTGACTTGACCCCGAGCCAAAAGATGGCGCATCTCCTGGCCTCACTGGAGGGGGAGGCCCTGGGCGTCGTCGGCCACTTGAGATTGTCGGACGACGCCTACCAGACTGCTCGGGACCTCCTAGCCAGAAGATACGCCAACGTCCGACGAATTGCGGACGAACATGTTAAGCAGCTTCTAAGCCTCCCGCTGCTTAGTGACCGGGCCAGACTGCGTCCGGACCTGTTGGATCCAGTCTTGGTGGCCTGTAATACGTTGAGGCGGCTGGATTTACCAGTGGGCGAATGGGCTTTTTTGTTGCTCCGCATCGTGCTGTCCCGTCTACCTCTCGACCTTCGAATCCATTTTGAGAGGTACGGCGGGGACGAGGCCTCCTATATTCCGCCCTTCTATGACCTGCTACGGTTTTTGGAGGAGCAGTGCCGGCAGATAGAGAACGCGGCGGGCACCGTTGACGACTTACGAGCCGTGCCCAGTGAGAGGCTTAATCCTCCAGGCAAGTCGTCGTCAACCCTCCCCTGCTGCTATTGTCGAGCGTCTGATCATCGGGTAACGTCGGGCCCGAAATTATTAGGTAAGCCGGTTTCGGCGAGGCGAACTATCGCCAAGGAGCGCCGCTAGTGCTGTTCATGTCTGGGAGGGCACCTCCATCGAGAATGTCCGCATCAACGGTCCTGTCTGCATTGCCAGGGCAATCACCATGCAGTTTTGTGCCTGGGTGCGAACGGCGTCTCCTCTCGGGGCTCTGCCAGGCCCTCGACCGCCACGGGCGGGGGCGCTCAGCCACGCCCTCTGCCGGGCTACAATCGGCGCCCGCCAGCCAGCCACCAGGCCCCTAAGTTTGGAAGGGGTCCCTCCCCCGACCAGTCGGGGGGTAATTCCCCCAGGGGCGGGGGTGTCATCGCCCCCCCTCAGCGTGTGGAGAGGAACTTCACGGCCACTCATCGGTCCGCTGGACCCTTCTCACTCCCGTTAGCTGAGTGGCCGCGACTGGTGTACCACTGTTCCCCATTTGATGGAGGCGGCCCTGGCTAGCTGCCGCCTTAGCTCCCACCACGGCCGCCTCTACTGAGCCTTAAGCCGTCAACAGTCCACTTGTCAAGGTGTTCTGTTGCCGACGTCCTCAGTGAGGCTTACAATCCGAGTGGCGACTGTTAGCGGTCGTGATCTATTGATTTCGGGTTCACGCCATGTGGCCTCCCCTTGGTGGTGGGAAGATTAGGGCCCCTCTGGAGCGTTAAATCACGCTGTCAAGGGGTATTAGATTTGGTTTGGTCGAGCACTTAGTCAAAAAATACTTGAATTAAAATTAAAAATTGCGTTTTGTGCGGTAACCTCATACCCCGCGATAGTTAGTGGCTTCTGTAAGTTAGTTAATCGCACGATAGAGTTAATTGACTGTCATCGTGTCGAAAGAGGAAAGTGATTGTGGTCCGGCGCCGAAGCAGTCTGAAGCGGTGCAGCGTTTTGGAGCAGCCTGGAACTCGGCCGCGGCTGGTCGCCTATGCTTGTCAAGGCCCCAAACATTCACACCTCACTGTACACTACTCGCCATCCACTATTACACACACTCACGGCCTGCCCAAGCCTTAGTGCGAAGTTAGCTTCGGATAATGGTAAGTACTATGTCTTTCTAACGTCCTCCCATCTGGTTTATTGTAATTAGGAATTTCCAGGTGGCTACATTGAGGCCCGACCTACGTCTGCTCGGGAAGTCTTCTGCTCATGGGCCCCAGAGGATTGGATCCTTTAAGGGAGCAGCCGTAGGCCGTAACAATAAGCTTATTTATATCGCGTAGAAAAACCCACAGAGATCATTTTAGTCCTATGTAATAAGGTCGGGCCTATTTGCTACTACACCAAAGATAAACTATAATATGAAATTATTCCGACATCACACACATTCGAATATCACTTGATTCTGAACTTTATAGATCTGAGTCTGAATCATCTAATTTAGTTATAATGATTTTGTCTATCACACTAACAACCGTAATATCTATCATGATTCCAGTATTTCAATTTTGTTAAATTTTTTGGACGTGGTCATCACAATTCTGCCATTTCGCGGCAGAGAATTCAGAAAATAACCTTGTGAATATTGTAATTTTTTCGGCCAATGGTGCATTAATGTGATTTCTTCATTCACACGAGTTCGATCGGGTTTCGATCTGAACGGTACAGAGGTAGCATTAGAACAATATGACCTGCAGCTTTCAGAAGTTCATCGATAGTGTATTTTTTTTTCTGTTTGCGTCATATTAATCAATCTCAAAAGTTCGGCTTTAACCATGGTGGGAGCATATGGCACGTTGTTATTCTGCAACCAGTTTTGCATATGGAGTTTCAAACTTGATATAGTTGGTTTCTTTTCTACTTGCACACAATGACGCATTATCCATACTGACGACTGAGTTTGGTATGAGTTTAGGAATAAATTTTTGATCTACCCAATTATAAAAATTAGTAGAGTTCATATATCCGTGATAATCCCCCGTTTACGAATCCGATTTAAAAATCAGCAACGCGTCGACTAATCCATTTCGACTACCAGCGTGCACTATTGTTAAGAGCCTTCCTTTGCCTATAATATATAAATTCCAGGCTCTGATTCAGATTGCCAACATGTTCCAGCATTCCCGACATTGGTTTACGTAGGTTTCGTCTAAAAATAAATATTTCGCTTATCTGATCTGTACATTTTTGTGGCCCCCAAGTATTTAACTCGCCATTCAACAGTATTTTCTCTCATTGCGGCACCGATTTTCGACAACTTTTAACTGTGGCGGCGAATATTTAGTGACACGCCTGGCGTGTCAAGCGCTTGTTTAGACCTAATTAAGTTTAGTTGACATCAAACATCAGTTACAAATGGAAGAATACCAGTTTTTAGTGCGTAGCTACGTGTTTTTCAACGTGTTTTCTTTGAAATTGAGAGTAAGTGACTTTTTTATGCAGAGATTATAAACCTTTTGTACTATTTTTTGTTTTATAAAAAAATCATTTATTTATGTAGATACAGCTAAATCATCCTGGAAAACCTTGGTTTTTATTAAATTAAATTTTCACCTAATAATAACATTTGTAAATATCAAACAATCAAGAACCTTATTTTGGAAAAAAATAAGATTTATGATTCATTGATATTTACAAATGTTAAATATTATTTAATGTTATACAAATGTAAAAGTAAAGTCGATCTGAAACCGTCTAATTAGTAAGAATAGCAAAATAAGTGTTTTCAAAACGCCGATGTTGTACGGCGGCGGATTGACAAAAGACTATTTATTAACGAACTTTTTTATGCATGAACGGTTTCGAACTGTTTCAAGCAAAAATAAACCTTATACCATATCACAAGAGCACATGGTACTTCGTAGGTCTATTCAGCCATATGATTATGCAAAATTAAACAATAAGACAAAGCATTGTTTTTTTAAAGAGGAGACTTGTTTTCCAGAAACTTGTTTACAACTTGAGTTTGTGAGCGATCGCAATGAGTGCTATTATTTGTTACTTATTAGACTATTTTTCCACAACATGATATAAAGTAAAAAATTAAAAAAAGGTTGTCAACCCCTAAAAATTCCAAATTTTCAAAATATCCAGAAACGAAGCTGTAGGCATGAACTACTTGCAAAATAATGAATATTTTGTTCTGGATAAATTTTCCAAAAACGCAATTTGAGCGAGTTATTACGATTTTTAAAAAGACACGACTCGCGTGTCATACGCCACACAAAAATAATCGATGGCACGCCTGATGTGACATCCGCACTGAACCGGTTAAAATTGATCGCTTAGATTTACATTTTTTGAATGAATATCCCATTTTGTGCAAAAGTGCTCTCAAGTAAGTAAAGCTGCAATGTAAAATGTTATCTTCTTTTAGTTCAGCATCAAGTTTTCGAATACTTGGAATTTTCTTGTCTATCGTATAAAACTTGTTTATTTTTCGCCTTATCATCCTAAAATCCTAAATCAAAATCATCAACTTGCATTTTTTTTTTGATCTGCTCGGAGATGTAAACTTGACACCTCCCGTATTTTGCAATGAATTTTTACTTTCAGAAATCACTCCTTATACTCCGATATCCCTGTAGCTTCGGCTGCTAATTAATTTATATTTGCATCAATTGTATATTCACAACTGTAAGTATCTACATCACGTTTTTTTTTTAATAAATGCACTTTAAAAATCACTGCATTAACTTGGAGATTCATCGGCGGACTCGTCTTGCTATTTCAATCTCATGTGCGTTTATGTAGACGAGCCAGAATCAATACCGCGTGTTACCGTCACAAATGGTCACAAAGGTTGACGGTGTACTGAGTAATAACAGCAAGAGCCCCGCTCTCCCGTCCCGCCGCTCAAATACCCATGGCGCGGCCAACTATAATATATATTTATTGTTGCACGCGGACTATACGCCCGTTATAAGTAGCGGCACGAAAGTCTCGCGGTGATTGGCTTATTGCGGATATGTCGCGGTGATTGACTTATTGCGCATAAGTCGCACTGATTGGCATCAAGTTTCGGGGGATAGCTCTTTGAGAAATGAAAAGAGTAGTTTTTAAACAATTCAGGCTGCATGTTATAAATATGAATAGTAATACTAATACATTTATACATATTAATCTACTAAGATTTCATTTCTTCATCATCATCTATATCTTCCTCTTGTAATATATCACTCTGATCTTTATTTTTTATTTCATTCATAGTTTGTTCAGCTTGTTGAACTACAAGTGTTTTGATTAAAATACACTTTGTCATATGACATGAACATGGGATTGGGTGTTCCACTGTTTCTGGATCTAATAATGAAACTTGGAGATTGTACCTGTATTAAAAAAAAAAACAATTAAGTTAAGGTAAAATTTTAAAAAGTTTCTTGGCACCAATATTAATACAGTCAGTTACAAGTCCACGGCTTGACGGCACGACCATACGCCTCTACCATAGATTGCCACAAAGTACTGCCCTGAGCCATCTATATCTATTGACTACCTTCGACTTTCATAAGGTCGTTACTACGTATGTTGGGGTGTTGCATTAGGTTTTATTTATATTTATTAGGTTAAATTTATATTGGGTTCTTACATACGAAATTAGCGTTTTGTCGTACTGACCACTTTGATCTGAAATATCTCCTCTTTGGTTGAAAACTCCAAATTCAAATTTATAAATTAATTTAGCTGGTACACTTGAGCTTTGAAACCAGTCATTCATTTGTTTTTTCCTCATAATTTTTTTCTTAGGCGCCGCTTTTTACCGCACAATGGAAAACATGAAATATCGGTATATTTACGAGTACGAGTTCTACCGTGGCATCAGTGCTGCATAAACAGTTCGAAGGATTAATGTTGCGGCGCTGGTGTCGCAAAAGTAAGCACGGTACGTTTTTAGTTTCAACGTTTCCGTTCTGGAAATTTCAACCTTCAGAACCAAACCCGTGGACGTCCGGAGACCAAAGTGGAAAATGAAGAATTAAAGGCTATTGTGCAAGCGGATCCATCACAAGCACTTCAGAGATAGCTGCAGGCTTCGGGGTAAGTGATAAAACTGTATTAATCTACTTGAAACAAATCGTGAAAGTAAAAAAACTTGAATGATGGGAATGGGGTATTTTATACATGGTAGAGCCATTGCTGCAGCTATATTAATAGTATAGTTGTGGCACGAATGGGTCGGCTCGATCGGGGAAGGACCAGAATACCAACGTAAAATAGCAGCTTAATGCTGATGTGTGAGAGTGAAGAGAACCGGAGACCCATTTTACTGGAATAGAGGCATTCCATCTTAGTCCTCATCGCTGACAACGCATCTGCATTTTAATTCGCAAACGAAGATAGATGTAGATGTCTATGGGCCACAGTAACCACTTACCTTTAGGTGGACTGTGTGCTCGTTTGTCCCCCTTATTCTATTAAAAAAACCTCATGAATTGATTTGATTGTGTTACTTAGCTCAACCGACACAATAATGAAGGGATTTTAAATCGAATTATTACTTGTGATGAAAACTGGATACTGTACGATAATCGGAAGCGCTCGTCGCAATGGCTGAACCCTGGAGACCCAGCAAAATCCTGCCCTAAACGAAAATTGACTCAGAAAAAGTTGTTTGTGAGTGTTTGGTGGACTAGTGCCGGTGTCGTTCACTACAGCTTTATAAAATCTGGCAAACATGAAGGAAGAACTGGTTGCTAAACAACCGAGATTGGTCAATCGCTTTAGGCCACTGCTGCTTCACGACAACGCAAGACCACATACTGCACAACAAACAACCACTAAGTTAGATGAGCTACAATTGGAATGTCTGCGACATCCACCGTACTCTCCGGACCTTGCTCCAACAGATTGCCATTTTTTCCGGAATTCGGACAACTTCTTACAAGGGAAAAAATTCAACTCTGATGCGGAAGTCCAAACCGCCTTCAAAGAGTTTATTGATTCTCGCCCCATGTTTTTTTTTAGTAAAGGGATCAATGAACTACCTATGAAATGGCAAAAGTGCATAGATAACAACGGTGTATACTTTGATTAATTAAATATATTTTACAAAAAAAAAAAATACTTTATATTCCTCCCGTACAAAACGCCAATTTCATGTGTAAGGACCTAATATTTATTATTTAATATTTTACTGTTAATTCATTCAAACGCAATGCTACAGATTTTTAATTTTTAATCAAAATTGCAATTAAACAAGTAGCCTATGCATGTCTGCAGTCATGTATAAAGAAAATATGACAATTGTCTTTGGAGCTCGAAATTCTATACATCCACAATCCACATCCAAATAACACATTTTTGACCCTACTATTGGATAGGCCTGAGAGACAGGCATAGAGGTAATCAATACTCAAGTGGTAATCAATGATTTTAATTAAGGCCGAAATGCTTTCAAAAAATTACCTCCTACTATTCATTTTATCTCTGGTCATATCCAGCTGAAATGCTAATGGTTCTCCTTCTTCTACTTCCTGTTCTTCAGGTAATAATATAACAGTTTGTTTCCAATGAGTAACTGGACTCCGAGGACTTGTACTCAATATAACCTGTGTATCATCTTTACAAATCACAGGAAAATGGCAATCAAACCATAGACATAATCCTTGATATTTTCCATTTTTACTTACACCTGTAAAGAGGAAGTGATGATGATTTTTAAATATTATTCATTGGTTTCTCATTAAACTGCAATACATTTTACAACAGTTTTTCTCCGGTGAGTATTTAGACTTGAAAGTCTTAATTAGTAGCTTAATTAGTACAAATTGTGTATCATGTTTATGAAATACAGAAATTGCAATTAAACCATACACATGGTCCTTAATATTTTCTATTTTTTACGTTTCTTGTTTTTTATAGAATAACGGTGACAAAGGAGCAAACACAGTCCACCTGATGGTAATCATTTATCTTCAATAAATTATCTGTGGGAGCGTGGTCCTATCTCGGTCGAGCCGACTCATTTGTGCTACAACCGTAATATAGCTGTAGCACGGCTCTACCATTTAAAGTACATTTTTTATTAAAAATTAAAAACATATGTATTTGTAATAAGGAAGAAATTATCATAAACAATTTATTTTTGTTTTATTAATATTCATTTTAAACTAATGTAATTCTTAAAATTACATTAGTATGTTTAACAAATATAGTACTATGTTATGCATATATAATAGACTCATGATGGTTTGCTTTTCTTAGCCTCAGGACTCTCAGTTGGAAAGGTAGGCCGTGTGAAAGGTTGTGTTCTGCTGCACCTTGGCTTGTTAGGAATTGGGGAAGAAGTTGTTAAAGAAGGGACGGACTGCAGATGTGTGTACAAGTGCTCCCTAAATCAGGCTGATATGTGACAAAAGTAAGAATAATAAGTGCAAGTCCCACACAGCCCATTATTGCCTATTCGAGACAGGACGAACCATTTCAGTCAGAGATATGAAAACTATCACTATAACACCCACCCTCATATATCAATCGGAAATTAAACACAAAACCTGAATCCTGAATGGAGAATCAATCGATCTCTTTTGGAAAAAAATTCAAAAGCTTATTACATACACGTTTGACTATAGACTTTTAGCATTAAGAAAATTGTGAGTCAACAATGCAACTGCATGGTAAAGTGTATTCACAGTGTAGTAAGTTTAAAACAAATTATTTGAAGAGATTAAGTTTAAATTATGTTGTTCATCTTCATCATCATCATCATTATTATTAGAGCCCTTCGCAAGTCCTCTGCTGAACATAGCCCTCCCCCAAGGAACGCCACAAAGCATGGTCCTAAGTGACCTGCATCCATTGATTTCCTGTATAATATCTTACCAGGTCGTCACTCCATTCAGTGGGGGGCCGCCCTACACTTCGCTCACTGCTACGAGATTGCCATTCGGTTATCGGTTCTTCGAACTATATGGCCGACCCATTGCCACTCTAACCGATTCCTTGCGGCACCGATTTTATTATTTTATTTTTATTATTTTTTACTTGAAAGATTAACAAATATTTCTTAGTCTTCTTTGAAATTGAGAGTGACTTTTTTATGCAGAGATTACAAACCTATTGTGCCACCAGCCACGTGTAAAAGTAATGTTCTTTTTTATGCTTTTTTTACTTGTTTAGACCTAATTAAGTTTAGTTGACATCAAACATAAGTTACAAACGGAAGGATACTTGTTTTTAGTAGATAACTACGTGTTTTTCTACGTGTCTTCTTTGAAATTGAGAGTGACTTTTTTGGTTTTATAAAAAGATCATTTATATAAGTAGGTACAGCTAAATCACCCTGGAAAACCTTGATTTTTATTAAATTAAATTTTCACCTAACAATAACATTTGTAAATATCAAACAATTAAGAACCTTAATTTGGACAAAATAAGGTTTATGATTCATTGATATTTACAAATGTTAAATATTATTTAATGTTATACAAATGTAAAAGTAAAGTTAATCTGAAAACGTCTAATTAGTAAGAATAGCAAAACAAGTGTTTTCAAAAGGAAAAAAACGCCGGCGCTATACGCGGCAGATTGACAAAAAACTATTTATTAGCGAACTTTTTTTATGCATGAACGGTTTCGAACTATTTCAAGCAAAAATAAACCTTATACCATATCACAAGAGCACATGGTACTTCGTAGCTCTATTCGGCCATATGACAGTAATAAGACGGCAGTTCAACCATTTTAAGCAAAATTAAACAATAAGACAAACGCATTGTTTTCTTTTAACAGGAGGCTTGTTTTCCAAAAATTTATTTACAACTTGAGTTTGTGAGCGATCGCAATGATTGCTATTATTTGTTACTTATTAGACTATTTTTCCACAACATGATTTAAAACCCACAAAGTAAAAATAGTACCATTTACACGTTAAAAAAAGGTTGTCAATCCCTAAAAATTTCAAATTTTCAAAATATCCAGAAACGAAGCTGCAGGCATGAACTACTTGCAAAATAATGAATATTTTGTTCTGGATAAATCTTCCAAAAAATCAATTTGAGCGAGTTATATCAGTTTTTAAAAAGACACGACTCGCGTGTCATACACCACACACAAAAGTAATCGACGGCACGCCTGGCGTGCCACCCGCACCGAACCGGTTAACTTATTAATCTGACATAGCCCAACAGATTAAATTATGTATAAAAGTTAAATTAATCATGTCAAAATCATTAACAATGTGTTAGTTCCCTAATAATTTTATAAACTGTTTTTTCGAATACACCGCATGCACTACACTTGTTGTTTTTAGTACTGTGCTCTCCACGGCCACATTTAAATCACACTTTTGTACACTAGCAAGGCGGCAAGGTTCTTTTGACCCGAATTTGAACTTACAGCGCTGATTATTTTGTCACATTTGTTTATACAGTTTTGTACTTTGTGACTTTTAATGAATTATGATTGTTTTATAAATAAAAGTATATTGTAATAAGTTCATACAATTGTGAATAAAAATAACATTCACATACATTGAAAAATGGCTAGGGTCATTTGACCTACTCAATAGATGAATGTATATATATATATATATATATATATATATATATATATATATATATATATATTATTTGTATAATATAGTATATGCATACTACTATGTTATTTATAATCTCATTCTTCATATCCATCTTTCACTTTTATACATCAATGATCAATTTCACATTGACCATGAGAATGTATAATAAAACTATACTGTTATTATTATTATAATATAGTAACTTAATTATTAATGATTCTTATTAGTATTATAAAAGAAATGGCATAACTAAATTTAGATCTTACCTGTTACTTGTTTAATACTGAATGAATCCAAATCTGATATTTTATCTTCCTTTAGATTTATCCAGCATATGGAAACATCAGGTCCTAATAAATCTTCCGACTGTACTTGCATTATCTCAGGCTTATTGTTCTTTCCCATTCTTAAGTACTTAGCAAATGTAGACATTGATATTCCATTAAAGTTATTCCACTTTTGGTATAAGGATGGAACACTAAAAGTAAGTAACTAGTTAAATGCTTTGGAATTATTTTTCATTTTAAGTTGTCAACAAAAAATATTCTTGACTTTTTACACTTCATATATAAGTACATTAATTATAACCTGTGAGAAGTATACTAAACATAGGCCTCTCCACAGATTGCTTCATAGGGAGAATATTGACTGTAGTTGTCATGCTTGGCAGGTCGGTTGGCAACTGCAGATTTTTTTATTGTTAGAGTTTTTTTTTTTTTATAGGAGAGGGGGCAAACGAGCATGCGGCTCACCTGATGGTAAGTGACTACCGCCGCCCATGAACAACTGCAACACCCTTTTAAAAAGGAGTACGCTCTTTTCTTGAAGGTCCCTAAGTCGTATCGGTCCGGAAAAATCGCTGATGGTAATCGATTCCACAAGGAGGTCGTGCGAGGAAGAAAACATCTTCTAAATCGCAGTGGTGGACCGCCAATCATCCAGATGGTGTGGATGGTATCGGGAGTACAGCCGCGATGTGCGTTCGTGAAATTTGGCGGCTGGGATTAATCCGAACAATTCCTCAGAGCACTCCCCATGGTAGATGCGAAAGAAAATGCAAAGGGATGCAACATCTCTTCGCAGTGCCAATGAATCGAGCCGATCGGAAAGGGCTCGGTCGTCGACAATTCGAGCCGCTCTGCGTTGGATGCGGTCAAGTGGAAGGAGCTGGCACTGGGGAGCCCCTGCCCAGAGATGGGAACAGTATTCCATGTGAGGCCGAACTTGCGCCTTGTAAAGTAGCAGGCGGTGTGCCGGCATGAAATACTGTCCCGCTCTGCTGAGCACGCCAAGCTTTTTAGAGGCCAATTTGGCCTTCCCTTCCAAGTGACCACGAAACTGCACGTCACTCGATATGTCGACTCCGAGGATACCGATACTGGCTGAGGCAAGAAGGGGAGTGCCTTGAAACTGAGGAGATACGACAAAGGGGTTCTTTTTAGCGGTAAACGCGCAAACTTGTGTCTTCTGAGGATTAAATTGTACTAGATTTAGTCGCCCCCAATCCGAGACTTTGTTCAGCAAAGACTCGACTTCAGACACAAGTTTGTTCCGGTACTCAGCGACGTTTTCCCGAGAAATATTGGCACGGCCGGTGTATAGAGCATCACCAGTGCTGTCATCCGCATAGCAATGAATGTTACCAGTTAGCAACATATCATTGATATGCAGAAGAAACAGCGTTGGTGATAGCACACAGCCTTGTGGAACACCAGCGTTAATGGGCTTGTAGTCAGAGCATGCACCGTCTACAACGACCTTGATGCTCCGATCTACAAGGAAGCTGGTGATCCATTTGCACAATTTCTCGGGAAGCCCATAGGAAGGGAGCTTCGAAAGAAGCGCTTTGTGCCAAACCCGATCGAAGGCCTTCGCAATGTCCAGACTAACGGCCAACGCCTCCCCCTTGGACTCTACTGCCTCCGCCCATCTATGGGTCAGGTAGACCAGAAGATCACCAGCTGATCGACCCCGACGAAAACCGTATTGGCGGTCACTAATCAGCTGGTGATCCTCAAGGTACCGGATGAGCTGGCAGTTAATAATGGATTCCATTATTTTGGAGAACAAGGAGGTGATCGCGATAGGCCTATAGTTGGATGGGTCTGAGCGGTCGCCTTTTTTAGGGATCGGGTGGACAAAAGCTGTCTTCCATGAATTCGGGACTACGCCTTGGGAGTAGGAGTACCGGAAAAGACGCGTTAGGACCGGTGCCAACTCCGGAGCACACGTCCTCAGCACAATTGGGGGGATTCCGTCAGGCCCACTCGACTTCTGGATGTCCAGGGAGAGCAGTGCTTTGCGAACCGAGCGCTGTGAGAACAGCACATCCGGCATGGAGCACTCACACCGCGGGATGGTCGGCGGTGTTTTCCCCCCGTCATCAAGAGTCGAGTTGGACGCAAAAAGGGAGCCTAAAAGGTCGGCTTTGTCTTTTGCGTCATGGGCCAGTGAGTCATCCTCCCTGTGCAGAGATGGTAGTGATGGCTTACAGAAATTCCCTTGGACAGCCTTGGCGAGAGACCAGAATGCACGGGTTCCCGAAGGAAGGCGAACTAGTTTCTCGCCAATTCTGCCTATGTGCTCTGACTTTGCCTTGGCACTAACTCTTTTGAAGGACCTGGAGGCGAAGTTATACTTCTTTTTAAGTGTGCTGGTATTTACATCCCGAGTCGCCGAAGCCGCAGCCCAGGCTTGATAACACTCCTGCTTACTGCGTAATGCAGTCTTACAGGAGCGACCAAACCAAGGCTGAGATCTGCCTCCGATGGGTACCACAGATGATGGAATAAATAGTTCCATTCCCTGTAGCACCACATCAGTGACAGAGTCAGCAACAGCGCTGGGATCATCCGGCGAGAAGCAAACCCGCCCCCATGGGTAGGATGCAAAGAAGGACCGCATTCCGTCCCAATCCGCCGACCTGTAATGCCAAACACGGCGGCAACCTGCAGAACGCAACCGCGAAGGGAGCGTGAGTGGCACCACACTCCGGATCAGACAATGGTCCGAAGAGCCGAGAGGGGCATCGACGGAAACCAGATATCCGTCCGGATGAGAGGTCAGCAGAAGGTCCAACAGGGAAGGTGTATGATCCTCCACATCTGGAATCCGCGTAGGCGAAGTAACCAGTTGTGTCAGACCATGTGCCAAGGCAAAGTCATAAACAGATCTCCCCGCATGATCGGTTAGACGTGAACCGAGCCATTCGGCATGGTGGGCGTTAAAATCGCCAAGGATCACGATCTCTGCGGATGGGACCTGTTGTAGCAAGAAATCTGTAGCCATTTGGACGTGGTCGATGAGTCGGTCTGTTTCGGCATTACCGCTATGGGACCTATAGAGGCACCCGTAGACGCGCGGATGGTCGTCGCTGTCTACGCGTAGCCATAGGATGGACAGGTCCAAACCTTCAAGACTGCCGAGGCGTCGAGAACAGATGTCCTCTCTGACATACACGCAAACTCCAGCCCGAGGCACAAAGGAATGCTCCAATTTGTACCCCGGGTAGGAGAGATACGAAATATCAGCCGGAGAGGAAACCTGCGTCTCGGTCAGAAAGAGCAAGGCCGGCTTCGCCGTCTCGAGATGGTAGTGGACGGCGTTTAGGTTAGAGTGAAGTCCCCTGATGTTGCAGAAATTCACGGATAGCGTGGCAGGGGTCGCCTTGGTGTTCTTGCTCAGTTTGCCCCTAGCAGTAATGCTTTTGAGCGGAATTTTGCCCCCCCCCAGAATACGCGGGGCAGCCTGAGCACCCACGCTCAGGATCGGAATAACATGGTCGTGGATGCTCAGCGAGGGATTCTCCAGGGGTGCTGGTACCCTCCTGGGGTAGTTCTTCGTGTAATTCCGCTACCATGTTGATGGGGGGGGGGGGGGGGGGAATTGGGCCTCCAGCCACCTGCACTCACCAGACGAAACGCAGAAGCAAAGCTTCTACTTCACGCCGGTATTCTGTGAGGTCGTGGTACCAACCCGGCTCGAGCCGGCCCATACATGCAACAGCAAAAACTGCTGCGTGGCTCTACCACCGTTGCAAAAACTGCTGCGTGGCTCTACCACCGTTGAAGTTGTGATCAAGATGATCAGTTTCCCTACTTCGCTTTTAATAACCATGGGTTTATATGGGATAGGACATTCTCTTACTTTGCCTCTACATGGCAACACACTGCACTGATTTTTACAGCAGTAGAAATGAATATAATACTGGTTATATTCAGTACCATCAATACATTTTGCTATATTTTATGCCTAGAATGAAAATTGAAGTAACTACAAAATAATGAGAAATGGGTGGAAGTGCCAATGGAGCAGCATGCTAATATATGCTGCTCTGCTACTATGTCCATTTCCATATAAAATTCACATATTAATGACTATAAAATACCTTCTAATAAAAGTAGGAAGCTTGTGCCCTAGCACAGTTTTAGAATCATATAATATTTATATAAATATATAGTTTTTTGCATAATATTAGCATATAGTAGCTAATATAATTAGCGACTATATAATAACCAAAATTAACCATACCTACATGGTGCAACATAAATGGCAGCACTCTCTGGAAACATTTCACCATCTTTTTTAAGAAACTTGTCTCTGGCTGCTAACACTGAGTCCAACATACCTTCATGAAGAAGATAGAACCCCATCCATTCTGATACAATTGCATCTACCTTGGTATTATTAGGTAAAACAACATCTTCCACTTTACTGTGTATAACCTGTTGTTGAATATTCATTTGTTATTGCGTTTAAGATTCAAGATTGTAAGATAAGTTATGACATTTGTGTCCACTGGAATAGCATTAAGTTGTCTAATAGAAATGCTATCCTCTTGTAAGTTTGAATGTCCTAATGTAATTTTGGGTAGGACATTCAAACTTTTTAGCCTAAGAGACACACTAACTCCCACTAAGGACAGTATTTGAAGACAATATTATCAATGTGTGAGTATTAAAATAGAATACATAAAATTATTCTATTCCATTCCAATATCGAAAAAACAACATATTTTCACAATATAATATTTGAAATAAAAGTAATAAAAACAAGACCTATTAAAACATAGATAATTCAGTTCTTCAAATTGTTATCAAAGTTTGCATTGTAACTCCGTTAATCTGAAATATTATGTAACAAGATCTCTCTTTAAGCCTTTTCTTGACAAAAGCAAAATTTACGTAATTTAATTTAAATGATATGTAATCTAGGCAGGGTCGGGAAGGGACGCCCTAGACGAAGGTTTATCGACCAGATCGGCGATACATTGAAAATGGGCCAGATTAGGAGTACCCTTAACCGACGAGCGTGTATGCGTAGATATATGGATGTGAAAGAGGCGAGAGAGGTGTGTCAGGATCGCGCCAAATGGAAGTCCGTAGTCTCTGCCTACCCCTCTGGGTGACAGGCGTGAGTGTTTATGTTATGTTATGTTATATTATGATATGTAATGCAATTTCAAATATAATGTTATTAAAAATAATGACGAAAAATAAAAGAAAAGTCAAAGAAGTGAAGGTAGAACTTTACTTCCACTTATTCTAGCAGTACACAAACGGCCCATGGAATTTACTTGAATTCAGCCATTCAATGTGTTGTACTTGTAAGTGCTGTTGTGATTCTGTCCGTTGTAAAGTACAATCAAAGCAAAGATGGTCATTTTGTGGAGCAATTGCCTGTGTGTCACATTAAGATAAGGAATGATACTGTTGGTTGGCATATTTGATATTTTTTCTATTACGTTAAAGTCGAATCTTAGGTAGTTGTGCTATACTGAATATATAAAAGCAAGTTAAACTTCCAGTCTCACACTATTTTTATTTATAAAAATAACTATTTTTAATGCTATCTAAGACATACCTCAATTATGTCCACAAAATTATTTTCTTTAACAATTTCTTTAGCTATATTAGCAATATTACTTGCTTCAACAGCATAAACTTTTTTTGCTCCAGCTTGAGCGCAAAATAAAGATAAAATTCCAGTACCGCATCCAACATCCATAATGACTTTGTTATTGAAATATTTTCTATTATCGTATATTACTTTTCTATACATTTCTGTTCGTGACGCATCTTCAAGCATAAGCCTGTGGATCTTAAAATTTAAAATAAAATGTAAGTATACCTACTTTATCATACAAAAATAAACTCTAAAAAAATTCTAAAGCGATACCTCTAAGTCTTCGTAACTCATGAAATATTCTTGATTATTATCCATTACGAAACACCACAGAATACTTTATAGAATCGTTTAGCAGGAATTTGGGGGAGTCAGGTGCTTTATTTGGTAGAGATTTGGTCCCCGATTATAATAATACCACTCACTTTAAAAGATAATGCACCGTTATCGAAAAAATAAATAAACTACAGATAACTGTATACTAGTCAGAAATAAACACTATTTATAACCTAAAATACGTGAAACATGGAAAAACATGCAATACTTGGCATAGATAAATATATATGTAGCAAGCAAATACTTGGCAATATTACTCAAAGAGACAGAGAATATAATCACTACGTTTAATATTACTGTGAAACAGAATTTTTTGTAAGTGCAACAAGGACGTAAGACATTTTTTTAATAACTGGCTTTACGGCTCTGGGATCTAGCCCTTCTGAGCCTGAAATTACAATATATTATAATTATCCTTCATAGTACACTGCTTCACAATATGTTGATGCGTCACATTGTGCAGCCCTTGGGAGATTTTCTTGAGAATTACATCACCATCAGAGCATTTGTTTCACCGTTTCGACTAATAGTTCACATGCGCAGACATTTAATACACAAAATTGCACCACTTTTACATATCAAAATCCACTTTAAACCATTATTTAAACAATAATACAGGAGCAGCAATCCGTCGCCGGTCAAGTTCCCGCCAAAACTCGGATGTAAGACAGTAAGACTAGTGTCCAAAGAGTATAGTAACTGTCCTATACAGGAAAAGAGAGCCCACCTTAGATATAAGAAAGATAGGGGATATGGCATGTGGTCACGTGATCTGAAGTCAAGTGTTTCTCAAATATGGCGACAACTCCACCCACAAGAAATAACGTTGTTTTTGTCGATATTTTTAGTATCGATGCTATATAAATTATGACGTATTGTCCATCTCATAAGTATATATTAAATAAATAAATATTAGATCACTATACTATTGCATTGGGTTAATCCTGTAATAATAGTTGTATTGATATGATAAATAAATAATTTTTACGTTCAACTCAGAATAGGAAAGTTTTGAAACTGTAATTGCTTTAAGATATGGTGAAGCAACAGACAAAAGTGAGCAAAGAGACCAAGGAAAGAGCACTTGATTGGAGCTTTAACTCCTTTCTTTTCAGAATATTATACTGAGTTCGTGCAACGAGCTAACGTTTTTTCGTACCGACGGCAATCTGCACATAATCACTCCAACCGTGCGTCCCTGGGTCGACGCATGCATTTTTTTTTCTTCTCTGCAGAGATTAACAAAACCACCACTATAGGCAATGTATTAAGCTTCGTATGATTTTTTTGCCCAGCCCATGCTGCCCACTACTAGGCAGAAGTCTCACCTAAGTTTTTCATCTCTCTTTTTTTTTGATAATAAAGATTATTTATTTATTTATCTCAGTAATCTAATAGAGTTGAGCAGCCGCTTTCTAAACATACCACCGTTCACAAAATCCATTAATCATTTAACTATCCTAACGTATTCCTCAATCTTCAGAATTCCATGTTCATACCATATGACAACTAATTTCCATGCAACATTTCGATCAATAGGGGTGGCTGCGCCACTTCAGACTTCCACTTCCATACTCATTTCTCATTATATCCCATTTGTGTAACACCACAAAATATCAATTTTATAGTGTTTACAACCTGCAAGTTGTAATGACTTCCACCAGTAGCGTAATTAGTGGTGGGTACTGGAAGTAAACGAGAGAGTAAGGATTAAAAATAAATAAAATAACAATAATGTATACTGATTAAAATCATTTATTCGTAACGAAATAATATTATTTAGTCAGAAAATTTATTTTAGACACATGAACCAAATCACCCTTAAGCCGAACTACATCCAGCGTTCTATTTATACATTCTTTTTAAAAATGCAAGGAGCATATTCTTCTTACTACTGTAGGTTTTATGTTTTCCTGGCCTATATTATCAATCCACAATTTTTGAAGGCCTTCATTTTTTGGCAACCTAAAATAAATATTATGCATCCTTAAGTACCAATCAAAAACAATCTTAACATCATCAAATCTTTTGATGAAAAAAACTATTATAGAATATTTACGATTTACACTATTTTCAAGTTCTTTTCATAAATGAAAGGCTCTCAATCGATCGATTGATTAAATATACAGTTTACGTATCTAAAACTTTATTTGATCATAGGACTACATTAATATTATTGTTAAAATTTATATCGATAATTTCAAAACATGACAGCACGTAAGGGCAACACTATGCAAAAATGTAAACAATCAAAATGTTTACTTGTTTAAATTTACATGATAATAGTCATTAGAAATTCCAGATAATAGCGGGAAATACGATTTAGAACCCTAACATGAACACGAAACGCAATTCACACGAAAAAATATACAATTATGGAAAAAAATTACAACTAACCTGAAAAATGACAATCCTTCTTCATTTTTACGACAATTTGAATTACATCCATTGATGCAACACTTTGTCATGTTTGTTTTTGCTCAATTACCCTTTACTAATGAACAAAAAAGCTCCAAAATAGTCAAAATTCACTGTAACACTGCAAAATAACTCCGAAAAAGGCTTAGATGACAGACGAACTACCACAAATGAACGTTATCCTAAAATGGCGTCATGCTTCAAGGTGGAGCTTAGTGAAATTATGAAAACTGTCAACAGAAAATTGAAGTCTAAGATATGTATTTATCTTTTTTTACATTTGAAAATCATAACCTGTGAGAATGAGACAGATATATTTTTGTTGGCAAGGTTCATGTTTGCATGATATTTGTATAACCAAAAAATATATATGCAATTTACAGCTTATCCTCTATCTTCTTATATCTATGGAGCCCACTCGTGCGAAATCTGTCAACCGAGGAGTACTAGCGCCGTCTGGTGTTGTTTCGTTATAATATTGTGAGAATGTCTGCGTGCGTATAACACATGCACCTCTACATATACATCTCTGTTCATGGTTATTCATTATGCACTAGGATTAATTATCAACAACCAACTGTGAATTAAACATTTGAAAAATTTTTTTAAAGATAACTGCGTACTAACTAAATACTTCAAATGTTTAATTTAACAGTCAGTTGTTAATAATTAATCCTAATACATAAAGTGTGATTCATAATTTGTAAATAGGAATTAACTATGATATTTTTTAACATGAGTGAAATTAAACACAAATAATTGGTACATTATTCTATATTTTTTGAACTTAATGAAAATAAAGGAGATGGATAAAGATTTAACATAGTTTTGACAATACAACACATAAAACTAATATTTTTATTCTAATGTTTATATCATTAATAGATTAATAACACAGCTAGTGTCTATACAAAAACAGTAAACTTTATTATTTTAATAAATGAATCATAACAAACTTTAACATTACAAAATGTTAAGCTAATACCATAACGGTCAACTTAAGCGGCTATAAATCAATCCAAAGTAACCACGCTTGGCAAGTGGGTTGGCAACTGCAGTTATTAGGAAGATCAGTCCACCTGCTGATGTGTTTCCCTTTGTCACCTCTTACAATGACACCCACGGGATAATATGGGGTTGTGGATATTCTGTGACCGTCACTACACGGTAATCTAATATTTTTTTACAATAAATGATTCGTAATTTATTGTAAAAAAATATTAGATTACCTTTATTTATAACAAAATATTAAACTAATGTCTTTAACAATAAATTTTCACAAACATAATATGAAAATAAAATTTTTTTACAATAAATAATTTATATACACAGCTTTGATATAACAAAATATTAAACTGAAAAAATATTAAATGCCTTGGCATATGGTCTGATACAACTGGTTACTTCGCCTACGCGGATTCTAGATGTGGAGGATCATATACTTTCCCTGTTGGACCTTCTCCTGACCTCTCATCTGGACGGATATTAGGTTTCCGTCGATGCCCCTCTCGGCTCTTCGCACGGATGATTGGCGGTCCACCACTGTGCGATTTAGAAGATGTTTTCGTTCTCGCACAACTTCCTTGTGGAATCGATTACCGCCAGCGATTTTTCCGGGCTGATACGACTTAGGGACCTTCAAGAAAACAGCCGTTTTAAAAAGCCGGCAACGCATCTGCAATTTCCCTGGTGTTGCAGTTGTTCATGGGCGGCGGTAGTCACTTACCACCAGGTGAGCCGCATGCTCGTTTGCCCCCTCTTATATAAAAAGCAACTAATGTCTCTAACAATAAATTTTCACAAGACAAAATATGAAAACGTACATAGAAAAATACGTAGTTACCCACTAAAAACAAGTATCCTTCCGTTTGTAACTGATGTTTGTTGTCAACTAAACTCAATCAGGTCTAAACAAGTGAAAAAAGCATAAAAAAGAAAATTATTTCTGATGATGTGTCGTTTGACACGCCAGGTGTGTCATGTAATATGTTTATGCCCATAAATGGTCATTTTGAGACGGTACCCAATCACGTTCTACTCGGTCGACGGTGCCAGGTGTCACGCGTGTTACGGGGAGGGGGCAGCGGAAGGGAGCTTCCCAGCGTTTTGGCGCTGTCGGGCGAGAGAGTAGTTGATAGTAGCTCGACGGCGGCTGGGCAGTTAATTGGTGTCTTTCGATGCCCGTCGCTGAGGTTTCGTGAGGCCGGTTTTTTTTGGATTAGGGTCTAGAATTTTGGTAATTGTGTTTCGTGAAAACCACCTCGTTTTAGGTTGTCTAGGGTCTAAGTTCTTGACAAGAGGCTTGTATTGTGTTTGACTGATTAAAGTAACTTCTTTGAAAGTAATTGTGAAAATCAGATAGTGAATGCGTGTTGAAGTGCATTTTGTAATATTTAACTTGCTCGTGTGACGTGGAATTGCGCGCGCGCCGATTAGAGATACTGTTTAGAATTTGGACAGCGCATTCCTTTTTCGAGGGCGTCGCCGGTTGACTGTTTTGGAGATCATTGTAATTGTGTCGTCGCGTTAAGTGCCCTTTTTTTGTGTGTTGACTGTTTTGTTAGTTTTACGTGTCAACGAGGCGGATTTTGAATTATTATCGCGGCGTAGTATTTGATATCGAACGAAGGAATTTCGTTGTGTTTGTAACGCTGAACCGTGTGACTCATGAAAAGATCGCGTTAGTTCACTATTCGTAATTTGGTGATAAGTGAATCCGGGATATTGAATGTTGAACTTTGAACTACTGTCCGTTA